AGAGGCAGCACCGGACTAAGGGGCAGCACCGGACTAAGGGGCAGCACCAGGATAAGAAGCAGCACCGAGCTAAGGTGCAGCACCGGACTAAGGGGCATCACCAGGATAAGGGACAGCACCAGGATAAGGGACAGCACCAGGATAAGGAGCAACACCGAGCTAAGGGGCAGCACCTGACTAAATGGCGGATCCTGGCTGGCTGGCTCTGGCGGATCCTGGCTGGCTGGCGGATCCTGGCTGGACGGCTCTGGCGGATCCCGGCTAGATGGCTCTGGCGGATCCCGGCTGGACGGCTCTGGCGGATCCCGGCTGGACGGCTCTGGCGGATCCCGGCTGGACGGCTCTGGCGGATCCTGGCTGGACGGCTCATGGCTGGCTGACGGATCTGGCTGCTCATGGCTGGCTGACGGATCTGGCTGCTCATGGCTGGCTGACGGATCTGGCTGCTCATGGCTGGCTGACGGATCTGGCTGCTCATGGCTGGCTGACGGATCTGGCTGCTCATGGCTGGCTGACGGATCTGGCTGCTCATGGCTGGCTGACGGATCTGGCTGCTCATGGCCGACTGACGGATCTGGCTGATCCTGTCTGGCAGAAGGCTCTGGCTGATCCTGTCTGGCAGAAGGCTCTGGCTGATCCTGTCTGGCAGAAGGCTCTGGCTGATCCTGTCTGGCAGAAGGCTCTGGCTGATCCTGTCTGGCGGAAGGCTCTGGCTGATCCTGTCTGGCGGAAGGCTCTAGCGGCTCTGGTCTGGCGGACGGCTCTGATGGCTCATGGCAGACGGGCGGCTTTGCAGGCTTTGGGCAGACGGGCAGTTCAGGCCCCGTTGGGCAGACGGCAGACTCTGGCCGTCTGAGGCGCATCGTAGGCCTGGTGCGTGGTGCCGGAACAGGAGGTACCGGGCTGAGGACACGCATCTCAGGGCTAGTGCGGGGAGAAGCAACAGGGCATGCAGGACCCTGGGGACGCACCGTAGGCCTGATGCGTGGTGCCGGAACTGGAGGTACCGGGCTGAGGACACGCATCTCAGGGCTAGTGCGGGAAGCAGCAACAGGGCATGCTTGGCCCTGGGGACGCACCGTAGGCCTGATGCGTGGTGCCGGAACTGGTCGGGCTGGGCTGGCGACGCGCACCGTACACTTGGTGCGGGTGGCAGGAACAGGCCGAACCGGGCTGGCGACGCGCACCGTAGGCTTCCTACGAGGCTCAGGAACAGGCCGGGCTGGGCTGGCGACGCGCACCGTACACTTGGTGCGGGTGGCAGGAACAGGCCGAACCGGGCTGGCGACACGCACCGTACACTTAGTGCGAGGGGCCGGAACAGGCCGTACCGTACGGGGAACACACACTACTGGCTGTACCTCGGGATTAGGAACGGGCCGGACCGGACTGGTTACACACCCCAGTACCTCTCGCCGAGCCTCTACACCTTCCTTCCCTGCTTTTCCCAGTAGCCCCCTTAACCTGGTAGCTTCCTGAATCCACCCCTTCTCTGCCTCCGTCAGCCCCCTTAACCTGGTAGCCTTCTGCATCTGCCTTGTGGCAGCCTCCTGCTGCTCAGTCGCCCAAGCCATGTGCCCCCCCCCTAAACATTTCTTGGGGTTGCCTCTCGTCCACGGGCTTCCAGCCTCGCCTTCGTGCTGCCTCCTCATACCACCTCCTCTCGGCTTTGGCTGCCTCCAGCTCTTCACGAGGGAGGCGATATTCTCCCGGTTGTGCCCAAGGACCCTTTCCATCCAATATCTCCTCCCATGTCCATGAATCCTTGACAGGTGGATACTGTTGCCGCTTGACACGCCGCTTGGTCCTTTGATGGTGGGTTTTTCTGTCACGATCGTCTTCCAAATGAGCGGACCAAAGCGCAGCGCGTTGAGTGAACATGACTTTTATTTATATAAAGCAACCACGAAAAAACAACAAATGACGATACGTGAAGTCCAACCGTTACAAAATACTGAAACACGGAACATGGAACACTGGAACAAAAACCCACAAACACAAGGTGAAAAACACACAGAATATATATGGCTCCCAATCAGAGATAACGAGCCGACAGCTGACACTCGTTACCTCCGATTGGGAGTCATTGACCAATCACCACTAAACACAAACAAAATGAAACTCACCCATCCCCAACACCACCAAATGAAATACACCCTGGCTCTAACACACAGTCCCGGAGCCAGAGTGTGACAGATATGCGTGTATTTAGATGGTTTTCTTTCATTAATAATTATTCTGAACTTTTCTCTCAATATATAGTCAAAAGTTTGGACACACCTACTCATTCCAGGGTTTTCTATGTTGTAGAATGATAGTGAAGACATTGAAACTATGAAATAAAACATAAGGAATCATGTAGTAACCAAAAAACTGTTAAACAAATCAAAATATATTTTATATTTGAGATTCTTCAAAGTAGCCACCCTTTGCCTTGATGACAGCTTTGCACACGCTTGGCATTCTCTCAACCAGCTTCGTGAGGTAATCAATTGGAATGCATTTCAATTAACACATCTGCCTTGTTAAAAGTTAATTTATGGAATTTCTTTCCTTCTTAATGCTTTTGAGCCAATCAGTTATGTTGTGACAAGGTAGGGGTGGTATACAGAAGATAGCCCTATTTGGTAAAAGACCAAGTCCATATTATGTCAAGAACAGCTCAAATAAGCAAAGAGAAACGACAGTCAAGTCAGTCAATGCAGAACATTTCAAGAACTTTGAAAGTTTCTTCAAGTGCAGTCGCAAAAACCATCAAGCACTATGATGAAACTGGCTCTCATGCTCTGCTGCAGAAGATAAGTTCATTAGTGTTACCAGCCTCAGAAATTGCAGCCCAAATAAATGCTTCACAGAGTTCAAGTAACAGACACATCTCAACATCAACTGTTCAGAGGAGACTGCGTGAATCAGGCCTTCATTGTTGAATTGCTGCAAAGAAACCACTACTAAAGGACACCAATAATAAGAAGAGACTTGCTTGGGTCAAGAAACACGAGCAATGGACATTAGACCGGTGGAAATCTGTGATTTTTGGTTCCAACCGCCGTGTCTTTGTGAGACGCATATGTGAGCCATGCAGGAATTGAACCTACGACTATTAGGAGTCAGATGAATCCTCAACCCTCAGTGAGTCACTCTGACACCATTAGCACAGTAAAGTCCATCTGCCCCAGACCATCATCCGACCACCAGACTTCATTACCCTCTCACACCACACCGGGGCTATAGTTGGACTGGCCTGTGCTCACTTGCCCTGATTGACTAACTACAAAGGTAATCACAAATAGGATCTCAGAATGTATAGCCGTTATGTCCAATGTATGTATTTGTCAATGACGTACAATAACAATTAATAGTTAATAATAATAATTTTGGTGGGTGCTTATATTTGTCCTATTTTACACATCAGAAAGTATTCATACATCTTTACTTATTCCACATTTTGTTGTGATGCAGCCTGAAATCAAAATGTATTAAATATATTTTTCTCTCACCCATCTACACACAATACCCCATAATGACAAAGTGAACATTTTGCAGAATTTATTGAAAATGAAATACAGAAATATCTCATTTACATAAGTATTCACACCCCTGAGTCAGTACTTTATAGAAGCACCTTTGGCAGCGATTACAGCTATGAGTTTTTCTGGGTAAATCTCTAAGAGCTTTCCACACCTGGATTGTGCAACATTTGACCATTATTCTTTTCAACTGGCTCTCATGAGGACCGCCACAGGAAAGGAAGACCCAGAGTTAACTGCACCTCAGATTGCAGCCCAAATAAATGCTTCACAGAGTTCAAATAACAGACACATCTCAACATCAACTGTTCAGAGGAGACTGCGTGAATCAGGCCTTCATGGTTGAATTGCTGCAAAGAAACCACTACTAAAGGAAACCAATAAGAAGAAGAGACTTGCTTGGGCCAAGAAACACGAGCACTGGACATTAGACAGGTGGAAATCTGTCCTTTGGTCTGATGAGTCCAAATTTGAGATTTTGGTTCAAACCGCCATGTCTTTGTGAGACGCAGAGTATGTGAACGGATGATCTCTGCATGTGTGGTTCCCACCGTGAAGGATGGAGGACGTGTGATGGTGTGGGTGTGCTTTGCTGGTGACACTATCTGTGATTTATTTAGAATTCAAGGCACACTTAACCAGCATGGCTACCACAGCATTCTGCAGCGATACGCCATCCCATCTGGTTTGCGCTCATTTGTTTTCAACAGGACAATGACCCAAAACACCTCCAGGCAGTGTAAGGGCTATTTGACCAAGAAGGAGAGTGATGGAGTGCTGCATCAGATGACCTGGCCTCCACAGTCACCCGACCTCAACCCAATTAGATGGTTTGGGATGAGTTGGACCGCAGAGTGAAGGAAAAGCAGCCAACAAGTGCTCAGCATATGTGGGAACTCCTTCAAGACTATTGGAAAAGCATTCCAGGTGAAGCTGATGAGAGAATGCCAAGAGTGTGCAAAGCTGTCATCAAGGCAAAGGGTGGCTACTTTGAAGAATCTCAAATATAAAATATGTTTAGATTTGTTTAACACTTTTTTGGTTACTACATGATTCCATATGTTATTTCATAGTTTTGATGTCTTCACTATTATTCTACAATGTAGAAAATAGTAAAAATTAAGAAAAACCCTTAAATTAGTAGGTGTGTCCAAACTTTTGACTGGTACTGTATATTCTAACCGTATTTAAAGGGATGGCTTTAGATAAATGTACTGAAAACCCTATTGAAAGAAAATTCCAGGAGAAAATCTGTTGGCTAGCAAGTGGGAGGGTTTTTAGCAGTTTAATTCAATTCATTCAGTGCGCGCAAGGGAGCCACACCTGCAAAGCCCGTAACACACCTGCATTCGGTAAGTCTGAATACCAACTACTGAGAAGTGCTTAAATCAAAACACATAAAAAATGAATAGATTTCCTGAGTCAGAATCGGGCCCTTATTACAGAACACTGAAGAAGCCTTTTTTATTATTATTCTGTGGCCCAGAGCAGAGAGTTCTGTAGGCCTCCTTCTCTCTCTCTGTCTGTCTCTGTCTCCCTCACCTGCTCTCTCTCCAGTCTCGCTCCAGCACAGTTTATACCCACCCCAGCCTTCTCCACTGCTGGGAGGAAAAGTGAGAGACAGAAAAATAAACGCTAAAGCGAGTAAACACAGTGTGCAGACTAGAGGTCATAGGTCTCCCCTTCCCCTCGTCGCCACTGCTCCTTTCCTCCCTCCCCTTCCTCCCGCCTCTACCGTTCCTCTCCACCCTCCGCTTCCACTGCTCCAGACACCAACTAGACACGACCTAGACACCTCTTTGTGGGAGAAACACAAGAAGAAGCAGAGAGAAATCAATGCTTCTTTCAGCGTTCCTCCGTCTAAGGCTAAACTAAAACATGAAGGACAGTATGTTCACCATAGGATTGGGGATGGGTTTCAAAAGCACACCATATGCACTTATCACAGAGTGGATAATCCCCAGATATCTTCCTGTATGGATCATGGTTAATCTGTAATTAAAAAGGAAATGGATTCAGAACATATCAAACTCTCACATCAAACTATGTCTGTTTTGTAAATGGTACACTCTTAGAAGAAAGAGCTCCAAAAGGGTTCCTGTCCCCATAGGAGAACCCTTTTTGGTTCCAGGTAGAACTATTTTGGGTTCCATGTAGAACACTCTGTGGAAAGGGTTCTACATGGAACCAAAATGATTCTACCTTGAACCAAAAAGGTTCTTCAAGGGTTCTATGGGGACAGAGGATGAACCATTTTAGGTTCTAGATAGCACATTTTTTTCTAAGAGAGTAGCTACACAGTATTTCCTTCCACTGTTACAACATATCTGGTCACAGAAAGAGGCACTGAATGGCTTACCACTGGCTCCAAAGTTCACACGCACACACTCGACGCCCCCACACACACAGTGCGTTCCCTCTACCATCTGTATTTCTCCTGACAGAGTGGACCTTTGTGATGCACAGCCATCATTATGTGGGATTAGCGTTTCTTTGCATGCTGTGATCTCCCAGGATTAAAGCAGATTACTTCATGTTTAAAACCGCTGGGTTGACAGATTTATAGTTTTATCTTTTTACTTCCACCAACTATGGTTAAGAAATTCAATCCTGCTGCTGTTCAGTATTCTTAGGGGATATACGATAAATTCTTTTTTTAAAGTCTGAAATGTTCCAAAAGCATAGCTGTAAACCTTGGAGGTCCCACATTCAAGTTGTTGTCCTTGGAGTGGGTCTCAGATTGGTTTTGTTGATAGTCATTGTCCATTCTTCTTCTCTCTGAAGCCACAAGCGACAGTATATAGCCAATCCCAACGTGAATGATAGTGGAGTAAATTGGTCTTATTGTTGTGGATGTTTGAGTGAACAGGGAGAGTACGAGATGGAGAGACATTTGTTGACGAAGTAAACCTGAGTCACATTCAAAACAATACCTGAACTCTCAGTGCACTATTCTGTGACATATTTACTTTATATTCACTTTATAGTGGCCTACCTTTGACCAGGGCCCATAGGGCTCTTTTCAAATGTGATGCATTATACAGGGTATAGGGGGCCATTTGGGACACAGACATATTGTGACTATGGGTGAGTTCATATTGGATAGTGGGCAGGACATCATTAACAATGTAGAGAGCAATAATAACTGACTGTGGAATCACTGTGGTGACTGTGATCATGTTGTTCTGCTGTCATTGTCATTACAGTATTGGCATTTTACAGCAATGATCATTTGATCCCTCTTTTGTTGTCGAAAATGTTCATATTAGCTTTGCAATTTACATAAATTCACTGAAAGCCCACACTAACACACGGTTATATTAACAGTGTTGCACTTTTCATTAAGCCTACTTTTGGCCAGCTAGCAGCCTAACCATCGCTCAAGCAACGTTATGGACTAAACGTTCAAATCCTGTTGCTGCACGATTATTTTGCGGTGACAATATAGGTCAAATTAAGATCCTACATATGTACATCTCTGTCTCTGTCTCTGTCTCTGTCTCTGTCTCTGTCTCTCTTTCTCTCTCTCTCTCTCTCTCTCTCTCTCTCTCTCTCTCTCTCTCTTTCTCTCTGTCTCTCTCTCTCTGTGTCTCTTTCTCTCTCTCTCGCTCTCTCTCCATCATGTTCTCTCTCTCTCTCACAATGTATACATCTCTCTATAGATGTTTGAGAGAACACGTTGACCTCTGCAGCAACAGTAACAGCCCCTCCACCAAGCAGAATGATCTAGATGTGTCCAAGTGCATTCTCCACCAATTGGTGGGTGTTGCCAGAATCGTGCACGAAGCCAGGATGTTACTTATCTATATTACAGGGTCTTGGAGAAGCTGATAACCTTTCAAATAAATATTGTTGTTGTGGTCAAAACAAGCGTTCACTATTTGTCTGTAACATGCTTTGCGAGGCTCATAGCTTATGGATCCCTTTTGAGGATCATGTTTGTTCTCTGTTGTTTCGATAAGAAGGATGGAAGCACCCTGACACTGAATCACCAGTGAGGGTTGTACATGAAATGTTAAATACTTCTGGATCAATACTTTGGCCTGTACCTCTGCTGTCTGTCTGTCTATTTGTGAGTCTCCTCACCTCTTGTTAAGTATGTCTCTGACCTATAGATCACTTCACAGCCTACAGACAAACTTGCCCAGACTCCAAGAGATATCCTTCATAATTCCATGTGCACACTGACTAAAGATGACGAAGAAGAAAGATAGTCTGTTTTATCACAAATGTATCCAGGAAAAGATGATCATCCGTCTATGAATGACTTGATATTGTTCAATTCAATCACAACATAAAATGCCACAATAAACTGAACCCCATGTAATTTCAATCTGTCTTTCACGCTGCCTCACAACCTTCTGAACAACAAGAATAGAGGAGGGTAGTGCCATCTTTTGGAGAGTCTGATTATAACAGATATTTCCATGATGGAAAATCTTATTGGTAAATTGTATGGGGTGGCTGTGTGTAGCCCACAGGAGGCTGCTGAGGGGAGGATGGCTCATTAAAATGGCTGGAATGGAGAGGATGGAATGGTATCAACCACGTGGAAACCATGTTATTGATGTTTTTGATACCATTCCATTGATTCCGTTCCAGCCATTACTATGAGCCCATCCTCCCCAATTAAGGTGCCACCAACCTCCTGTGGTGTAGGCCTACGTCGCTGTGTCAATAAGTGTATATGTTTGGATGATAATGTGTTCGTGTTTAACCATATTGCCACCAGAGTTAAGGATGTCAGTGGGACTCAGAGAGCAGATTCTGAAAAAAAAGCTTTAAAGAACTGAGATAGCAAAAACTATTCAAACATCTATGAAGACGTTTTGTAACTGGCATCTGAGTCCTGCGACGGCTTTAATTTGGTGAAATTATCATGGTTTTGATTTGAGGGGGTCTGACCAAGCCATGCTGAACTCTACAACAGTGTTGGTGAGTAGTTCCACTACATGTAATTCAACTAGTAATTTAGCTACATTTTTGGAGTAGTGTTGTAGTGTTTTCAGTACCTAATTCGTTTTTTGCCATGTAGTGGTGTAGCTAACTACTGGAACTACCCATAACATTTTTGCTCACAAAAGAACCACTAAATTATTAGCAAAATAACTACACATTATTTTTTATCTCCCTGACCACTGGGCTAACCCGACACACTCACTCTCTGGCTGTCACAAAGAGCTCCACTACACTGTTAACATTTGATGTGTTCTTGTAGTCATGTTTCTTAACTTTGTATTACATGACATTTCAGATTCCGACAAGGTAGTTTTGATCAGTGTACTACTTTAGTTAAACAAACTCTATTTTTTAAGGGTAGCTTTACTGTAGCTTAACATCTTCCAGTGTGAAGTAATTGGTAGCTTGGTAAACTATATTTTCAGAGTAGCTTCCCCAACAACAGGTACAGTATAACTGTTAGTTGTGTGGTGTAGGCCACACAAGGTCAGGTCAGGCCTGATCCATCTAGCCACAGTTTATTCTCATATGGTGGTGCTCATAATGAACTCTTGACTACCCCTGCAGGACATAACTTCAGCAGAGACCACACTATAGGTTCACAGTAGAGACCCGCACTACGTCAAGACCCACCAGCTCTGTAACCAGGTAGAAACCAGTAGAACCACCAGCTCTGTAACCAGGTAGAAACCAGTAGACCCACCAGCTCTGTAACCGGGTAGAAACCAGTAGACCCACCAGCTCTGTAACCGGGTAGAAACCAGTAGAACCACCAGCTCTGTAACCAGGTGGAAACCAGTAGACCCACCAGCTCTGTAACCAGGTAGAAACCAGTAGACCCACCAGCTCTGTAACCAGGTAGAAACCAGTAGACCCACCAGCTCTGTAACCGGGTAGAAACCAGTAGACCCACCAGCTCTGTAACCGGGTAGAAACCAGTAGACCCACCAGCTCTGTAACCGGGTAGAAACCAGTAGAATCACCAGCTCTGTACCCAGTAGATGCAGAGATCATTATGCATCCACAGAAATATATTGTACTGTAACCTAGAAAATACCTACCTGGTTCCAGATCTGTTTGTGCTTTGACCAAGCTAAACATTTGGCATGACAATTCCATAAGGAGTTGGCAAGAGAGCAGAAACAGACTGGCACCCACGTTAGAAAATACATTTTTACAGACGCTCTTATCCAGAGCGACTTACAGTTAGTGAATACATATTTTTTTTATACTGGCCCCCCGTGGGAATCGAACCCACAACCCTGGCGTTGCAAACGCCATGCTCGATCAACTGAGCTACATCCCTGCCGGCCATTCCCTCCCCTACCCTGGACGACGCTGGGCCAATTGTGCGCCGCCCATGAGTCTCCCGGTCGCGACAGAGCCTGGATTCGAACCAGGATCTCTAGTGGCACAGTTAGCACTGCGATGCAGTGCCTTAGACCACTGCGCCACTCAGGAGTACAGGTTCGAATCCACCACCTAGGTTGTCCATAACCTAGATTTATATCATATTTTGAAAATAAGCATTATATTCATACATAAATGTTGATAGTAGTGGTGTGCTGGCTGGCACTACAACCCATACTTTTAACATTCAATAAACTTTATAAATAAATGATTTAATATGACAGATACTCATTGCTTTCTGTTTGTTTCTATCTATAGTACAGCTGGTGTTTCTTGATATGATCTATTTCATTATTCATATTCTGACACTTCCCACCTATTACCTCTGAACAGAGAGGCACATCTTTAATACAATAGGATGGAACTGAGAAATTGTGTCTGGTCAGTAATTGTCCCAGGCAATTATGAGAGGGAGGGAGAGGGAGAGAGAGAGATATATATATAGAGAAAGAGAGACATTTTCTCTGTGCAGTGGTGCAGAACATTGTCCCCCTGTACGGTAGTGACCTGTACTGGCCTGCCCAGGTGGACGGTACAGGACCAATCAGCAGCAGCCTCACTGAGCAGGTGGAATGACTTTCATGCACTTTGAGCCAAATCTATTAGACATGTTCAGCTCTCTGTAAGGATACCTGCAGTTACCGACTTAGTGACCAGACGTTTGCCCTCGAAGGGAGAATGGTGGAATGTGTTACACACTATCCCTAGTTCTCTATATTATAGTATTTTAACTTGTGTTATATTGTACTGTTTTTCCTAGCGCAACTAGATATTATTAAGGTAATAGTGAGATCATATATTTTATGTATGGTTTAGGGTAGTAAATATTATACCAACCCTCCCCTAATTGGAGTAAACTAATGGACAACAACACTTAGGCTTCTACTTCCAGCTTATACATACTATATACATTTTATGGACACAACATATTTTGCATTAGTTATCTTTTGTTTGTTTTTAGTCCCATCCTTTATGTTTTGAGCCTTTGTTCTCTAACGGTTATAGTCACCTGTACTAAGCTTAATACAGAAATATTGCATTACAGTTTCTTTAGCTGAGAACAAAGAAGGCAAGCCCCACAATTGCATAAAGAAACATACTTTTTAATTATAATATAATGTTGATATTGTTTATATCATAATGTTCTGTATGTAATATATATATGTATATTTTTACACGGGCACAAGCTACTAAGGAACACAGACAGTAAGCAAACATAGAAAAATATTAGATTAGTATTATTGGCACGGATTAAGTTCTATTATATTGTTAGCAAAAATAAAATAAATAAATACAACGTTACTCACAAGTCACACCAAACAGCTGGAAATGTGTCATATTCCAGCACAATCCTCAGCAGACAGACAATGAAAATACCATCTAAATAAACCCACTACACAAACATGACACAAATATGCCTTGGAGCATTTTATACAGAAGCACACATAGAGGACACACACGCGCACACACACACACACACACACACACACACACACACACACACACACACACACACACACACACACACACACACACACACACACACACACACACACACACACACTACAGGAGGCTGCTGAGGGGAGGATGGCTCATAATAATGGCTGGAATGGAGTGAATGGAATAGTGTTTGATACCATTCCATTTAATCCGTTCCAGTCATTACTATGAGCCCATCCTCCCCAATTAAGGTGCCACTGGCCGCCTGTGACACACGCGCACACACACACACACACAGTGTAACAAAGGAGTATTCACTCTCACAATTATAATAATTAAATAAAATACAAAAGGTTCAGTCAACCATATCAGGGGTTGCTATGGTGACAGAGGTAAGTCATGTCTACTGTAGGAGTCAACAAGAAGAAAGAAAAATAATCATAGTTTAAAATAAAGTTTAAATGGTTTGAAATGGGAAGCGTTTATCTCTTCATAACAACACCAGAATAGCAGCCCTGTCTGACTGTGTGAAGCAGGCAAGGATTTTCGCATCAGAATGTTTTGTTTAACCAAAGAAACACAATGAACAAAATCCATTGAATAGAGCTGTATGTTGAATTTAAAGACATGTAGGCCTACAGCTACTGGAAAACACAGAAACTCACAAAAAAACTGTTATGACATGTCAATTAATTAAACCACATAACCTGTAAAGCATGAATATTAAAATCTCAATCCACACCTGCCCTTGCCCTGAGAGAGAATGAAAACTAAAAGCTTTACTTCACGAACGATGTGACCCTTTGGGCAAACAGACAAACAGATCATGGCCCTTTGGAGGTAAAAGCACAGGCAAGAGGGATGTCAGAAGGAAATGATGCATGATGCCTGCTAGCTCTACCAGACTGCTGACACAGCTTCTGTAGAGGTTTCACAAACAGCAATCCCCTCATTGTCCTAACAGGAACAACCTAGCCCCCTTTCTATTGGTGTGTGTGTGTGTGTGTGTGTGTGTGTGTGTGTGTGTGTGTGTGTGTGTGTGTGTGTGTGTGTGTGTGTGTGTGTGTGTGTGTGTGTGTGTGTACGGCGTGCATGCATGTTTGCGTGCGTCCTAACGGGAGCCATTTAATTAAAGTCAACCCCAGTGACACTCTGCTTACCAGGCAGCGCTGGAGCAAACAGAGCAGCCACAGGAGCTCAACTTAAGAAAAAGACCACTTGTACTGCAAGGACACTAGGACAGGGCTTAATGACAGTGACAACAGAACACTAGGAGATGGGACATTACAATAGGAGACGAGTAAGGTCAAGCTTTGTCGCTTGCCACTAGCTGCATGGACACATCCTTCAAAGCTAACCTGTGAGCGGGAGAATGGAGTATGTACAATATCATTTGAAACATCAATATATGAAGGACAATGTTTGGAGTGCAAGGACTTCGTATAGCAAGTGTATCTATAGGCCTACTTGCTGTAACGTCCACCGTAAAGTGCACTTGTCAGTCAAACCAGTGCAAAGAATAAATACAGGTCTGTGTCGGTACATGACCTCCATAGACGCACCTTCAGTCATCTCCAAGTGATACCATGACAACATCTCTGTAAATCTAAAAACGTAAACATTATTTGATTTTGATGAACAGAAGCATAGTGCCTACTAGTCAGTGCCCATAGTAGAGACACTGTTCTCAGATGCAGGAAAGTGACGCCTTCCTTATTATACTGTTCCTGTCATAGACAAGGTAGCGACATTAAAGGTTCAATGCATACAAAATCGAACTCTAAAAGCAGTGCACATACAGTATGAGAAATCTGAAAAAAATGTATGGTCATTTCCAAGGGATATGAGCCACAGCCATTCTTATTTCATGATTCTATATTTCAAATCTTAATCAACCCAGATAATTACACAATGGACTAAGTAGCAGTAATACTCATATATCAGTTTAGTAATACTCATATCTCAGTATAGTATTACTCATATCTCAGTATAGTAATACTCATATCTCAGAATAGTATCACTCATATTTCAGGATAGTAATACTCATATCTCAGGATAGTAATACTCATATCTCAGCATAGTATTACTCATCTCAGTATAGTAATACTCATATCTTAGTAGTAGTAATACTCATATCTCAATAGGATCACTACAGTCGGTAGAAGGTACATAATACCTTATTGAGGAGGTTGGGATATACCTTATTTTAAAGAACACGAAGGCATTACATGGTTGATAACTCAACTCAGCAGTTTGTTTGAGACACATAAATGCTTTCGACCAACACACACTTTTTAGATATGTAATATATTGTATATAAACTTATACAAGAAATATATAGAACACCTTTTTCTTGCATTGTATATATTACACTGTATACTGCAGAGAAGGTTAACCTCTTGATTTGGCCTTCATGTTATGTGTTGAAATTGTATGATATAAAATACACAACACAATGGTCATAGTCTGACGAACGTATGGATATGGCATAATGGAAAATACATCATTTTAAATCATATCTAAATTCCTTTCATAAAAAGAAACATTTGTACAATATAATACCACCACAGTTCTATGTGGAGTTTGAAACATGTGTATTATAACATTTAAAATCAAGGAGTTAAATTCCAAGCAACTATCATGTAATCCTTCAAGTAGATCCTTCATCCAGTGATTCATTCAGACTAGCCACTTCAGGTCAGGCTTGAAGACCAAAATGAAATGCTCTTGATTTGGTAGCGCTTTGGGATGAACATTAGATGTATATTATATTGACTATACTTTGGGATAAAGGGGTGTTCATAAGGCCTATATAACATCAATGAGCCACACGATGCACCACATCAGTCGTTTCACTTGACATACTGTATACAGCTGTTAATATGGATGGGTTGTATAGAGCTTATGACCACCTCTTTGACAGCAGGGGTAACAGAGGTATACATACTTTAAATATACACTGTACATAGTCATGGTGCAACCCCCTTCCTCTCACTAAGTCCTCCTATCCAGTCAACCACAACAAGGAGATCTTCATATAGACCTAGGGCCTCTCTGAGCCAGTTTCTCTATAGCTACAGCTCTATTTGAAGTAGTGGTTCTACTTTTTTAAATAGTTGAGCCTCTATTTAAAGGGATACTTCAGGATTTTGGCAATAAAGCCTTTTATCTACTTCCACAGAGTCAGATGAAGTAGTGGATACAATTTCTATGTCTATGCATCCAGTATGAAGGAAGTTAGAGGTAGTTTCGCGAGCCAATGCTAACTAGCGTTAGCACAATGACTGGAAGTCTACGGTATCTACTAGCATGCTAGCAGTTACCATAGACTTCCAGTCATTGCCCTAACGCTAGTTAGCAATTGCGCTACTGCTAGTTAGCAACTTCCTTCAAACTGCACGCAGAGACATAAAAATGGTATCCACGAGTTCATCTGACTCTGGGGAAGTAGATAAAAATCCTGAAGCATCCCTTTTAAGTAGTTTGAAGTACTATTTGAAGTAGTTTGAAGTTCTATTTGAAGTAGTTGAGCCCTGCGACCAGGAAGAACTTCTCCAAGAAGAGTTCAGAGTCGAGCACGGCGATGTGAGCGGCTCGGCCAATCAGAGTGTTGGCGGTATTGGGCAGGGCGTGGAACACATTCTGGCGAATCAGACGACAGTCCTTAGCCCCCACCAACGGCTGGAGTAGGTTGTTGATCATCTCTGTGTACACTGGACCTTGAATATGGAGACAGAAACACGTTGGTTAGTGTACACAAAGACCTACAGTGTGGAAACACAGACAGACACATGTTACGGTTCAGTCTCTGATTGAACGTTAAAAGCTTTCTGTATTTACGCAATCACACTGGCACGTCAACAAAGAGATAGGTACAGTATGTGATGACGATTGTTCACTATGTAAATTATGCTTCTTAGATGTATTTGGTGGAGATTGCAGGCATCTGGTCTTTATTTGTTGTACTTTTACCCCCCAATTGGTAGTTACTGTCTTGTCCCATCGCTGCAACTCCCATACGGACTCGGAAGAGGCTAAGGTCAAGAGCCATGTGTCCTCCGAAACACGACCCTGCCAAGCCGCACTGCTCGCTTAACCCGGAAGCCAGACTCACCAATGTGTCGGAGGAAACGTCGTACAACTGGCGACCGAAGTCAGATTGCAGGCGCCCGGCCCGCCACAAGGAGTCGCTAGAGCGCGATGGGACAAGGACTTCCCGGCCGGCCAAACCCTCCCCTAACCCGGATGATGCTGGGCCAATTGTGCGCTGCCTCATGGGTCTCCCATTCACAGCTGGCTGTGACACAGCCTGGGATCAAACCTGGGTCTGTAGTGACGCCTCAAGCACTGCGATGCAGTGCCTTAGACCACTGCACCACTCGGGAGGCCCTTCATATGGACTTTATAATAGGAACATAGGAGCTGCAGTGAGTGGTGCTAACCTGTGGTCCTGTCTTTGAGTGCAGTCCTGCACATCTCTATCCTGGCAGAGTGGAAGGGAACATATCGGTCCTGAGGCGATGCCACCAACACCACATTCTTGAAGAACTGGAGTCCTGAGAAAAGAGACAAACAGAGGGCGTAGACAGAGAGGGCGAGAGAGAGACAGAGAGAGAGACAGAGAGAGAGAGAGAGAGAGAGAGAGACAGAGAGAGAGAGAGAGACAGACAGAGAGAGCGACAGAGACAGAGAGAGACACAGAGAGAGAGAGACAGAGAGAGCGAGAGAGACAGAGAGAGAGAGAGAGAGAAAGAGAGAGACAGAGAGAGACAGAGAGAGAGAGAGAAAGAGAGAGACAGAGAGAGACAGAGAGAGAGAGACAGAGAGCGAGAGAAAGACAGAGACAAAGAGAGAGACAGAGCGAGAGACAGAGACAGCGAGAGCGAGAAAGACAGAGAGACAGACAGAGAGAGAGTTTGTAGGTTATATATATATATGTATCACTTGGTGCCATCATCATTGTTTGACAGCCCTCGACTGATAAAGATGTGTTATTTCTCGTGTCTCCTGTCACTGTGCTCTTAAAAGAGTGCACTGCTGCGTTTCAAATGACAGGGTTTGGATCATTTTGTCAGCCCGGCACAGCTCGAAGAAAAAAGCATTTTTCTGGCTTATGTACTTGGAGTCTTTGACAAACGGATGCTTTGTTCATCTCACACAGTGGGGGGGGGCTTCCCAGAACAGAGCTAGCTAGCTAGTGGAGTCTGTGTGTTAGCCAGATGACATATGGAGAGGAAAATAGAAAAAAACTAAACAAAAAACAATAAGATGACCAACATTTTTATGAATATTTGAGCTCATTGTGCTCTTACAGTATAGTTTGTCCTACATTATAGCAGTACCTACCTGGTTTCTGACTGAGAAGATAGAGGAAGGTTTTGCGAGGATCGGTGTGATCTCTGCAGGTGAGCTGCAGCAACGATCCGGATTTCTTCAGCTTCTGCATCAGCCATAGACCTAAAACAACCACAGACATCAGCCTCCTACCTAAAACAACCACAGACATCAGCCACAGACCTGTAACAACCATCTGAATTACAGACATACACATCCCCCTTTGAAGACACTGGGAGGAGCACAGAGCAGAGCTGAATACTGTACAATTAATACACAGACTGGTAGGAAGCTGCTGAGGAGACAAAACCAGAATCAGAAACACTCCTTGGAGTAATACAGTATATACAGTATCTGCACTGTGCTGTTTCTATTTCCATGCTGAGTTGACGATGGCCTGTGTTTCGCAAGGATTTCAAAAGCCTAAGTAAGTAGATAAGTATTCTGACCCTCCCCACCTCACCTGTGCTGACCAGCGTGCTGTTGTTGTACAGCGTTCCCAGGTGTGGTCCGGACAGAGACAGGAAGGTGTGCAGTTTGACCAGGTAGCAGCGGAACCGAGGCCTTGTCAGCACCGACCGGATGATCACGTTCCCCAGAGAGTGACCGATGAAACTGAGGGTCGGAAAGAGGAGACAAACGGAACAGACAAACGGAACAGACAAACGGAACAGACAAACAGAACAAACAGAACAGATAAACAGAACAGAAAAATACATTACTCTGCTGCTACCCAGGTCTCGTTAGACTAAAGAATGCACAATGAAAAGACTTCCAAGACTGACTGCACAGTTTCTTATTATAGGATAGAAGCTATGCACAGCAAGAGGTGCCTCCAATTCTTTGGCCCCCTGGTATTTATTCTATCAGTATAAAGTGTTCAGGATGAGGGTAGCTCATCCACTCTAGCCCTTGAGTTTTGCCAAGAAAATACATCTTTATGTTTTTAATTCCAAAGAGATGATTAATGTCCAAATAAGCGTCCTCCAAAGCAAGTTGACGTCTTGACGTCTTAATGGCTAAGATAGTGGTAGCTAGAATAATTAGCTGCTTTGTCCCAGTAGTCATTGAGACACTAGATTTCCTTAGATGTTCATTTCCCATCTGCTAATTACAGTAGTATCACCATCATCACAGTACTGGGCAGCTTCCCTCAACACCAGCTACTAACAACCTCATCTGTTTCCTCTAACACTAAATATAGAGGCGATGTGGAGAGAGACAGCTGCTACTGTGGCACTCCATGTCTTTAGTCACAGTTCACCAGAGTATAAACAATGTTGAAAAGAATGCATACTAAAATAGCACACCCAGAAACTCAGATAGGAAAATTGGCATATTTAGGGCAATTATTGTACATGATGAATCACTGTACTTGATTTGGACCTAATAGTGCTCTGCTGCGGAGAGAAATATGTTTAAGTTCTTCAATTCAAAGACAATGCTAAGTGATTGACAGTGCATGGGAATATCCTCCATTACTGGGTTATTAAAACTTTCTCTAACTCAGAGGAGGCTGGTGGGAGGAGCTATAGGACAGGCTCATTGTAATGGCTGGAATGGAATAAATGGAACGGTATCAAATACATTAAACATATGGAAACCACGTTTGACTCCGTTCCATTAATTCCATTCCACTCCTATAGCTCCTCCCACCAGCCTCCTCTGCTCTAACTGGCCATCAGTTTGATAGGGTTTAGGATTGAACTGAGATAGGGGGGTTTTCTCGTTTGGGCAAAAGTCCGTCCTCTGTCCTCTCTCCTCCATCCTCTCTCCTCCGTGACCCGGAAACCGATAAGTGGTCAAGAGGTCGAGCAGTGTGTGAATTCGTTAGTAGGCAAACGGAAGTGTCCTCCCCTCCTCGATAGCCACCTTTCATCAAGGATAGTTTTTAAATCTGCCAAACCCCCTTTGAATCAGCTTTTGTTTTGTCAGAAGGCAAAAAAACATGCACACATTTAAAAACGATATGCTACTTATTGTTTCATCTATAACATGTCTTGCACAACTAACTTAATTTGTTTGAGCACTTTACACATTTATTTTGGGATCCACCCCGTAAATGTAATTTGCCTAATGACGACCGTCTCATTTCAAGCAAGCACATTTCCATCCACGTTCACTCTCCTCACCGACTCTCCTTTTACCTTTTTCAAAAGGAGGCGAGAGAGGACGGAGTAGCGAGGATGCAGGAGGTGTGCAAATCTTCTGGGGAAGATCTTAACATACTCCTCGAGTCCTCTCTCCTCATCTCCTTCTCAAAACACATTGGAGGAGTAGGTCAGAGGGGAGGAACCTCTGGCTTTCTCATCCAATAGGTTTTGAGAAGGTGACGAGGACAGAGGACTCGCGCGAGGTGTATGCAGTTGAGATCTTCCCAGGGAATATCATAATGTATTCATATGCTGATATCTAGTGGCTATAAAGAATACTACATCTGTTTTGTTTCTCCATTGCCTCCTATTACCATACCTGTGTCTTGGTTAGGACACTGACCTTAATGTTGTGTGGTAGTTAGAAATTACCTTAATCAAATCAACTCAAATTGTATTTGCCACATGCACCGAATACAACAGGTGTAGACCTTACAGTGAAATGCTTACTTACAAGCCCTTAACCAACAATGCAGTTTTAAGAAAAATAAGTGTTAAGTAAAAAAAAATGGATAAGTTAAAAATAATTAAAGAGCAGTAAAATAAAATGACAGTAGGGAGGCTATATACAGGGGGTACTGGTACAGAGTCAATGTGCGGGGGCACAGGTTAGTCGAGGTAATTGAGGTAATATGTACATGTGGGTAGAGTTAAAGTGACTATGCATAGATAATAAACAGAGATGTTGTGTTGTGTTTAGGACACTGACCTTAATGTTTTGTGGTGGTTAGGAGACTGATATTAATGTTGTGTGGTAGTTAGAACTGACCTTAATGCTGTGTGGTAGGTAAGGCACTGGGCCCAGTTGCATAAAACACCTTAAGTTAATTTCCCCCTTATATTTTTCCTTAAAGTTTCCTTAACTTTAAGTCAGTTGCACAAAACATTTTAATGTGTATTAATTCAGTATGGTTATCAATGTAAACATAATTTGTGGAGGTGAATGTTGCTTTCATCTGCCCTGGTTACAAAATAAATACATCAACTATCTAGCGACTTAGCTAAACAATGGAAGATGCACAATCCGTGGCTACAAAGCTAGCTGGCAGTTAGCTAGCTACTCTGTAAGCTAGCTTGAAGTGCTAGAAAGTTTTTAAAAACAAGTTGAGAAAAAGTGGTGTTGATTGTAGAAGTTCTATTTTGCTATCTCACAAAATAAATGTGATCTCTTTGATGAGACATTTAGTCAGTGAATCAGGCCATCTTCATTGTAACCAGATACTCTTTCTGCAGTACATGCCTTCAAACTACTGTAAAACTCTTTAAGTATGCCCTTAAGTAAGGGAATATTTGAGGGGCTCTATGAAACTCCCTTAAACAATTCCCTTAGGTAAGGGAAAATGATTCCTTAAGGTAAACCCTTAAGGGAAACACTTAAGATGTTTTATGCAACCGGGCCCTGACCTTAATGTTGTGTGGTGGTTAGGGCACTGACCTTAATGTTGTGTTCTAGTAAGAAGTGACTTTAATGTTGTGTGGTAGTTAGAACTGACCTTAATGTTGTGTTGTGGTTAGGACACTGACCTTAATGTTGTGTGCTAGTAAGAACTGACTTTAATGTTGTGTGGTAGCTAAAACTGACCTTAATGTTGTGTGGTGGTTAGAACTGTCCTTAATGTTGTGTGGTAGTTAGAACTGTCCTTAATGTTGTGTGGTAGTTAGAACTGACCTTAATGTTGTGTGGTAGTTAGAACTGACCTTAATGTTGTGTGGTAGTTAGAACTGTACTTAATGTTGTGTGGTAGTTAGAACTGACCTTAATGTTGTGTGGTAGTTAGAACTGACCTTAATGTTGTGTGGTGATTAGGACACTGACATTTAATGTTGTGTGGTGGTTAGGACACTGACCTTAATGTTGTGTGGTAGTTAGAGCTGACCTTAATGTTGTGTGGTAGTTAGAACTGACCTTAATGTTGTGTGGTAGTTAGAACTGACCTTAATGTTGTGTGGTAGTTAGAACTGACCTTAATGTTGTGTGGTAGTTAGAACTGACCTTAATGTTGTGTGGTAGTTAGGGCACTGACCTTAATGTTGTGAGGTGGTTAGGACACTGACCTTATCCGTCCGATGGTGAGGTTGTACAGCTGAATGTGCTGGATGATCTCGTCTATTAGCCTGTCCGTCATGGTGTCGAAATCTGCAAATGTGTCAGTCTGCAGCCAAGGGAGAGGAAAACAACTAACATATTTTCACATTTATTTAACCAGGAAATCCTATTGAGATTAAAATACCTCTTTTACAATGGTGCTCTGACATAAGTAGCTTAAAATTAAAGCATACTCACAGGATTTTCTAATACATATTATCGATTCTTTAAAATCAATATTTATTGTATTAATGTGCAGACAGAATATTCTGTATTTTACCTGGTTCCTCTCTGACATGAGGAAGTCCAGTCTGGACCCTGGTAATCCCAGCTCTATGAAGGTCTTCACCAGGCGAAGGTCTGCACTATTCCCTAGGAGGAGACAATAAAACAATACACCTTTAAACAGGTGGATCAGGTGATTGGTTGATTTGATTGATTGATTGATTGTTTGATTGATTAATTGATTGATTGTCTCACCATCAAGGCCGTGGACACAGACGACCAGGTGTATGCCATCCTCAAACTCCTCATCCTCCTCCTCAGGGGGGAAGTAGGGCAGGTCAGAGGCCAGGTGAGGGAGGTCACTGTAAAGGGTTGCCTTGAACACCAGCTCCTTCACCAGATCCTCTTTGGACCTGTAGAAACTGGAACACAGTGTGGGCAGAGGGGACAGGTGATGGTCAGAGGTGGCGTCATTATTGAAAATCACAACAGCATCATTATGGGAAATCCCACACTCAGAAGAACTCATCATCAAAGAGGTCAAAGAGCAATGCAAACGTCTGACTTCTCACACATCTATGACAGAGGTAGCTGGTTCACCACAACTTTCTGCAGCATTCCTTCTCATTGTAAAACTAGAAAGAGAAAACAACTCACTGCAGCATCCTCTCGTTTGTGTCGTCGTCTGGCCCAAGGGCGTTGGACGAGCAGATGATGCCGAAGGAGCCCAGGGGCTGATGGGTAATGGGGGATGCGGCTTGTCGAGTGGAGATGCCGGTAATGGACGGTGAGTCCCGGAGGACGGAGGAGAAGGGAAGACAGGTCGGAGCGCAGGACACAGACATATTCACCACCTCCACCACCTTCCTGTTCATAAAGGATAGGCCTGACCCTGAGTTTGATCCTGAGCCCGACCCTGACCCCGAGCAACTGGGGATTTTAGCCGGGTTAGTCTGACCGTTGCGATCCAGCTGCTCTCTCTCATTGGCCGGGAGCCCTATGAGGTCATTAGGCCTGGCCGTATCATTAACAGTAAGGCCTATAAGGTGGATGGGTCTCTCTGTGTGGTTTGGGATAGAGGGGATAGGCCTGGGGTCGTGGAGGCTCTTCCTCTGTGAGACCACCACCAGGTCACGCAGCCCGACCCGATGGAGGCTCTGGGAGGGAGTCTGGTGATGATCCAGCAGTTCCTTGTCAACAAGATCGCTCAACCCAATCTGATGGAGACTCTGACAGTCATCCCTGACTGGATTCTCCTCCACATCATCCACCAGCACACTGCTGTCATGTTCACAGGGTTTGGTCTCACAGCTACAGGGGGTGATCTCTACTTCACAGAGACCTGGGTCCACTGAGTTTAACACACCACTGCTGTCTCCTCTGTGATGGTTCTTATCCACCATCTGACTGACTACAGCTGGGTCCTTCACGTCATCATGGCCTTCAGGTACTCCACTAATGCCACTTAATACTGCCTTCATATCCTGAGTGTCTGACAGGGCCACTGGCAAAGCTGATTTATTAGATCTAAGAGTTTCTTTAAGAACATGACCACTCTCCATATGAGTTCTGGTCACCTGCTGGGGTGGTGAGAGCGCTGCTCCCCAGTCAAACAGGCCAACCTCAGGCAGCTCTCCCTCTTGGATGTCCTCTAGAGATGGGTGGTTTCCCCCGGATAAAGACTCCTGGTGTCTAATCAAGTCCCCAGTTGTTACATTGGTGGCAGCAGTGGAGATGGAGGAGTATCCCTCCTCCTGGTCCTGGTACCCACTGGTCCCCTCGCTCTCTGTGTCTACCTCCTCCTCCGCTCCTCCCTGGTCCTCTTCTGTGTCCTCAGGGCTGGAGATCTGAGGAGCTGAGACAGACTTGGTCAATTTACTGAGCTGTTGCTGGTTCCTCTGTTCCTCGTCGTCCTCGTAGGGCAGGGACGAGATGGAGGTGAGGGAGGCCTGGATGCCCGCGCTGGGCAGGCTGCCCCCGCTGGCTCTGCTCTCTGTCTGCAGGCCCTCCAGGGAGCTGCGGTGGACCGGGTGTCTCCTCGCCATGCGCTGCAGTACCAGTATCTCCTCCAGAGGGTGCCCTCCTCCCGTCCGGTGAGCGTCCAGGAGCCAGGCCATCGAGCTGGGCTCGCTCTCGAAGCCTGAGTCGGAGATGATGGAGGGGGAGCGGTTCATGATCTTGGAGCCCCCCACCCCCACCACCCCTCGGTGGGACAGCTCTCTCCTCAGGTCTGTAGGTAGAGGGGGTGTGAGGGGATGGATCTTTGAGTGGAGCCTGGGGGTAAGTGGTTAGACTGCTCAGAGGAACATCCTCGCTGTCGTCGTCCATAGCAACATCATTCTCTTCTACATCCAAGTCATTTCCTGTACTGATAATGTTCTGGTATCTCTGTGTGATGATGTCTTGGTGGTTCTCCAAGTCATTCCAAGTCATGTCTTCACGGTTAGAGGTATGTTGTGGGTCTGTACACTGTTTGTGGTTGGAGGAGACCATCAGCACTGCCTCTCCTTTGAATCGATCCACATCAGTGGGCCTGACTCTGATGATCCTCAGGCCTAAACCAGGGCTCTCCTCTGAGATCTCCTCTGCCTTGGCCTGCTCCTCTGGATGCCCTGGCTGGACTGGCTCTCCCTGGTCTGGGTCTGCCTGGTTTGAGTCTGAAGTCTCTCCTATCTTGTCAGTAATAATGCTGATGCTCTGCTCTCCTATGACAGACCCGTATGTAAGCAGGTCCATGCAGTCCTCACTGTCTTTAGGTTCCTGGGTTGGTACTGCTGGTGAGCTGGTGAGCTTGTCCAGGGCAGGAGGACTATTGTTGGCATCAGTGACAGGAGGGTTGGGGATGGCCTGCTCACTGGTGGAAAGAGGTGTTGGCATAGATGATCCCCAATCTAGAAATAAAGATGGAGAAAATGTTTAGGTCTTACGCTAATACTAGATGTTTGAATTATGCTGATCTACACTACTTGAATAAGTAGGACTCTGAAACAGATAAAACAGTATTGTTAGCACAAATAAAAGCAGACTCAGACCAGGATTCAAAATAAAACAGATAAACAACCTATGCACTGCTTAAAGATGAATTCTTATTGAGCCATGAGCGATAATGATCTCCGCGAATGTAGAGGAAATGTCCTTTAAATGTACATCGCTGTTGAATGAAATCCAGGACTTAGCCAACTCACCTGTCCATGGAGACTCTACATATCTGTCTTCGAAGATGATAGGCAGGCTGTTCCAGTCTCCATCAATGTCCAAGCATTCTACAGGTAATGGTGGCATCCTGGTCAGGTAGTTGGAGCTACGCACCTCCACAGCTATCTGACCGTGTCTGTTGATCCTTTATAACCAGAAGAAGAAGAAGAAGAAGAAGAAGAAGAAGAAGAAGAAGAAGAAGAAGAAGAAGAAGAAGAAGAAGAAGAAGAAGAAGAAGAAAGAAGAAAAATATAACTTTTGGCTATCTATCATAACCACTCAAACACTTTCGACCTACCTTTTCTCTATTCATAGAATGACGCCTTAGGTAAAGCATTAACATAACATTTGATGTAAAACAGAGTGACAAAACTACATCATTGTGCTCCTGGAATGGCAGTACTCACAGGTCCTCTTGAAATGTCAGGGATGTCTCTTTGGGGTGTTCTGTGAAGAAGTATGCCTCTGAAAACCGCCTGACCTGGCATCAGCACAAAATATAAACAAGAACCATCCTAATTTCCTCACAGAGAAACTTACCGAGTTAGTACTGTATGCATGAAAGGCAATGATTTGATCTTCAAAATGGTGTAAAAGTTAATAGTGTAAAAAAAGTTTAAAGTGTTAAAATATACAGTACCAGTCAAAAGTTTGGACACCACTCATTCAAGGGTTTTTCTTTATTTTTACAATTGTTTACATTGTAGAATAATAGTGAAGACATCAAAACTATGACACATATGGAATCATGTAGTAAACAAAAACGTGTTAAACAAATCAAAATATATATTATATTTCAGATTCTTAGCCACCCTTTGCCTTGATGACAGCTTTACACGCTCTTGGCTTCTCTCAAACAGCTTCATCTAGATTGCTTTTCCAACAGTCTTGAAGGATTTCCCACATATACTGAGCACTTGTTGGCTGCTTTTCCTTCACTCTGCGGTCCAACTCATCCCAAACCATCTCAATTAGGTTGAGGTCAGGAGATTATGGAGGCCAGGTCATCTGATGCAGCATGCCATCACTCTCCTTCTTGGTAAAATAGCCCTTACACAGCCTGGAGGTGTGTTGGGTCAATGTCTTGTTGAAAAACAAATTATAGTCCCACTAAGCCCAAACCAGATGGGATGAAGTCTCCCGAGTGGCGCAGTGGTCTAAGGCACTGTAATGCAGTGCTAGCTGTGCCACTAGAGATCCTGGTTCAAATCCAGGCTCTGTCGTAGCCGGCTGCGACCGGGAGACCCATGGGGCGGCGCACAATTCGTCCAGGGTAGGGGAGGGAATGGCTGGCAGGGATGTAGCTCAGTTGGTAGAGCATGGTGTTTGCAACGCCAGGGTTGTGGGTTCGATTCCCACGGGGTGCCAGTATGAAAAAATAATTTTAAAAATTAATGTTTGCGCTCTGGATAAGAGCGTCTGCTAAATGACTAAAATGTAAATGTAATGGCCTATCGCTGCAGAATTATGTGGTAGCCATGCTGGTTAAGTGTGCCTTGAATTCTAAATAAATCACTGTGTCACCAGCAAAGCACATCGACAACATAACACCTCCTCCTTCATGCTTTACGGTGGGAAATACACATGGATCATCTGTTCACCCACTACGCGTTTCACAAAGACATGGTGGTTGGACTAAAAATCTCCAATTTGGACTCCAGACCAAAGGACACATTTCCACCGGTCTAATGTCCATTGCTCGTGTTTCTTGGCCCAAGTAGGTCTCTTCTTCTTATTGGTGTTCTTTAGTAGTGGTTTCTTTGTAGCAATTCGACCATGAAGGCCTGATTCACATAGTCTCCTCTGAACAGTTGATTTTGAGATGTGTCTGTTACTGGAACTCTGTGAAGCATTTATTTGGGCTGCAATTTCTGAGGCTGGTAACTCTAATTAACTTATCCTCTGCAGCAGAGGTAACTCTGGGTCTTCCATTCCTGTGGCAGTCCTCATGAGAGCCAGTTTCATCATAGTGCTTGATGGTTTTTGCGACTGCACTTGAAGAAACTTTCAAAGTTCTTGAAATGTTCCGTATTGACTGACCTTCACGTCTTAAAGTAATGATGAACTGTCATTTTTCTTTGCTTATTTGAGCTGTTCTTGCCATAATATGGACTTGGTCTTTTACCAAATAGGGCTATCTTCTATATACCTTGTCACAACACAACTGATTGGCTCAAACGCATTAAGAAGGAAAGAAATTCCACTAATTAACTTTTAAGAAAGCACACCTATTAATTGAAATTCATTCCAGGTGACTACCTCATGAAGCTGGTTGAGAGAATGCCAAGAGTGTGCAAAGCTGTCATCAAGGCAAAGGGTGGTTATTTGAAGAATCTCAAATATAAAATATATTTGGATTTGTTTAACACTTTTTTGGTTACTGCATTATTCCATATGTGTTATTTCATAGTTGTGATGTCTTCACTATTATTCTACAATGTAGAAAATAGCAAAAATTAAGAAAAACCCTTGAATGAGTAGGCGTGTCCAAGCTTTTGACTGGTAGTGTAGGTAACTGCCAAAATAAAGGAAACAGTTGAGTAAATGAGCGATACATTGAAAGCAGGTGCTTCTACACAGGTGGGGTTCCTGAGTTAATTATGTAATTAACATTCCATCATACTTAGGGTCATGTATAAAATGCCCAGTTGCCCATTATTTTGGCTGCCGTGGCTAGAAGAAATCTCAGTTACTTTGAAAGAGGGGTCTCAAAGTAGCATAGGGGGGTTTAAAGGGTGTGTGTGTGTGTGTGTGTGTGTGTGTGTGTGTGTGTGTGTGTGTGTGTGTGTGTGTGTGTGTGTGTGTGTGTGTGTGTGTATCTATCTGTATCTCAGTCACCAGGGGCCTCATTTATAAACCGTGCGTGCCGTGATCCCATAGGCAGTGCGGTTTCTGATTCAGAAGGGTTGGGTTAAATGTGGAAGACACATTTCAGTAGAATGCATTCAGTTGTACAACTGACCAGGTATCCCCTTTCCCTTTCCTTCATAGCCTACAGATGAATTTAACAGGTGAACATCAAAACAGTTTATATTTTACTATGAAGTGTGTATGCTATTACTGTAGGTAGCCCACTGTAATTTCAATTTGTTTTATGTAGCTTAGACAATGTTTCAGAATTCGCGGGCATTCTAGCATATTTAGGTTGGGGGGAAAAGTAAATGCAAAACATTGTTGAATTCAAATGTTCTGCTGACAGGTCGACAACAATTTGCCATTGTTCTCTTTCAGAAACTGTCTCAGTCCTTTGCCAAATACAGCATAAATTACTGCAAATTACTGTACATTCTGCCAACACAGTAAATAGACCAGTAATTGATGTAAAATATTTGACAGTATATATAGGCTACAGTATTGCTGTGCAATAGGTGCGTGACATCATAAGCCTATTTAATCTCACAGCCTATACCAAGGCAGGAACATATAAACAAAATAATGTATTGATAAACAAAATATTGAACAACAATTCGTCCTTTGCATAGAAGTGTGGGCTGTTACCTACTTTTAAATTTTTTCCAATATACAATCAATCTTGCAGAATGCGGGCACAGTTTTGTGACTGGTCATATTTATAATGGGAAACATGCTATGTATGGCATATGTCAAGTTCATAAATCTAAATATTTTTAGACGTACGTATTCTTTTCAGAAATGGCGGACGCAGATATTTAGTGTGACCCCACATCTCAACCCAGTTGAACACTTATGGGAGATTCTGGAGCAGCGCCTGAGACATTTTCCACCACCATCAACAAAACACCAAATTATTGCATTTCTCGTGGAAGAATCATGTTGCATCCCGCCAATAGAGTTCCAGACACTTGTAGAATCTAAGCCAAGGCGCATTTAAGCTGTTCTGGCGGCTCGTGGTCGCTCAATGCTCAATTAAGACACTTTATGTTGGTGTGTCCTTTACTTTGGCAGTTACCTGTATATGTATGAAAGATAGTGTTAAATAATTAGTGTTAAATAAAGTGTTAAATTATGTTTGACTTCTGGCATTTTGCAAATAACATTTATTTTAACAGTTTCAATATCAATTTGACTTTGATACCATGTATTAACAGAAATAAAAAATGTCCCCCCACTAAACTGTAACTAAACCTGCCTCCTGTTATAAAGTCACAGAGCACGACAGATATAGACAGAGAGTCAGGAACATCAAGAAACAGTGTTTCTGTATGTTTGTTCATCAGGATAATTACAGAATAAATGTTCATTGAAATCACACCCATCCTGCGGGTGGAAGCATGAAACTAACCCCTGAAGGTAAACTAATATGGAGACATACTGTGTTCATTATGACTCACAGACAGACAGTCAGACAGGAGATATGAAACTAACACTGTGAGAGACAAGAGCCTGGAGACCTGCTAGCAACACTGAGTAGAGGAGAGGGAATAGTTTTACATTAATATTAATCATTCCAATGATTAGATGGAAATTACATTTGGGATTCTCAGATACAATGTCTATTCAAGGCATAGAGGTCTATAGGGACTAATCATCAGCTGGTGTATTTTACCTGGCTGTAATACTCCTACACAATCTGACACACAAAACCTAAATAGTGGGCTTTGGAGGGTTCAAGGCCTCGGCTTCTAGTGTTACACATTTCATAATATATTAGATAGAATGTATGGGGGGTGTGTGATGTTCCTGAGGAGTTAAGGGGTTAGGGCTCACCCTGAGTGTGTGGTGTTCCTGGGCCAGGTGGGACAGGATATGTGTGTTAGGTACGGCAGCCTCCAGGAAGCGGGTCCACAGGGCCGACAGTTGGGAGCAGAGCTGGGTCAGGTCTCTACTGATCTGTTCTGCTACTTTCTCATGTCCCTCCTGCAGCTAGAGAAGGAGTGGAGAGAGGAGACAGGGGAGGGTTAGGGTCAGCGTGTGGTGCTGGTTAGAGGGGTTAGAGGCTGGTTAGAGGTCAAAGGGCAGATTAGGTGGAGCAGAGCTGGGTCAGGACTCTACTGATATGTTCTGCTGCCTTCTCATGGCCTCCCTGAACCTAGAGGAGAGGAGAGAGTGGATACAGATAGTATCTCTTTATATGCTCAATGACTTTATCCAGATGCCACTGGTATTTTAGATACTGTATATAGTAAAAGTACAGGTAACTGCCCAAATAATGGAAATACTTGAGTAAATACAAAGCATATTGAAAGCAGGTGCTTCCACACAGATTCCTGAGTTAATTAAGCAATTAACATCCCATCATGCTGAGGGTCATGTATAGAAATGCTGGGCAGGCCATTATTTTGGCTACCATGGCTATGCCCTCATAGGATGACAATGCACCCCGCCACAGGGCATGAGTGGTCACTGAATGGTTTGACTATTATAAAAACGATATAAATCATATGCCATGGTCGTCTCAGTCACCAGATCTCAACTCAATTTAACACTTGTCGGAGATTCTGGAGTGGGGCCTAAGACAGCGTTTTCCACCACCATCAACAAAACACCAAATGATGGAATTTCTCATGGAAGAATGGTGTCGCATCCCTCCAATAGAGTTCCAGACACTTGTAGAATCTATGCCATGATGCATTGAAGCTGTTCTGGCTTGTGGAGGCCCAACGCCCTATTAAGACACTTTATGTTGGTGTTTCCTTTATTTTGGCAGTTAACTGTATGTGTTAAAGTAAAAAACTTGAATAATGGAATTTTTTGATGGAAATACTAGTAGAACATTGGAGAGGAAAGAGAGCATAGCTAATATAAAATGTTGATATTGATCTTGGTTTTTAGCAGTACTGTATGTCTCGTACACCACCTACCTGTAATTCTATTGTGAGCTGATTTAGTGTTTCTTCCACAGGTAGCTCCTCTGTGGATAGAAAGACAAGATAAATAGATTATTACAGCAAAGCGCAACTCTACTCAGTCTTATACAGTATGAAGTTAAACCACTGTAAAAAAAAATATATATATATATATATATTTTTAAATCAATTGAACAATAAATCATTGACTTGATTGATTGCCACAATAGACACAGCTAAATATTGAGGAAATGCTATTGTAACATGTTGTTGCCTCACCTATGTCCACCTGTTCCAGCTGTGGTATCTCCTTCATCACAGTGGTGTAGTAGGAACGTAGGCCTCTGTGTACCGCCAGTAGGAGGCGACAGAGTCTACCATGCCAAGTGTGAGCTCTCTGTAGACAGTTCTCACTGGGGACGTAGAAACTACCCTGGGGAGAGACAGGGGGGAGTAGAGGGGAGAGGAAGGGAGAAGAGGGGAGAGGGTAGATGGGAGAGAAGAGAGGGAAGAAGGAGAGGAAGAGAAGAGAGAGGATAGATACATGGAAGAGGGGAGAGACATGAGAGAGGGGAGACGAGAGAGACAGGGGAGAGACAGAGAGGAGAGTAAAGACAGAGAGGAGAGAGACGGGGAGAGAGGAGAGGCAGAGAGGAGAGAAACGGGAGAGACAGGGGAGAGACAGAGAAGAGAGTAAAGACAGAGAGGAGAGAGACGGGGAGAGAGGAGAGGCAGAGAGGAGAGAGACGGGAGAGACAGGGGAGAGACAGAGAAGAGAGTAAAGACAGAGAGGAGAGAGATGGGGAGAGAGGAGAGGCAGAGAGGAGAGAAATGGGGAGAGAAAGGGGGAGAGAGGGGAGAGAGGAGAGACAGAGAGGAAGAGAGACGGGAAGACAGAGAAGAGAGTAGAAACAGAGAGGAGAGAGACGGGGAGAGAGGAGAGGGCAGAGAGGAGAGAGACAGGGGAGAGAGGAGAGGGCAGAGAGGAGAGAGACGGGGAGAGAGGAGAGACAGAGAGGAGAGAGACGGGGAGAGAGGAGAGGCAGAGAGGAGAGAGACAGGGGAGAGAGGAGAGGCAGAGAGGAGAGAGATGGGGAGAGACATGGGGAGAGAGGGGAGAGAGGAGAGGCAGAGAGGAGAGAGAGGAGAGCCAGAGAAGAGAGGAGGAGACAGGGGAGAAAGGGGAAGGCAGAGAGGGAGAGAGACAGAGAAGAGAGGAGAGAGAGAGAGGGGAGAGAGGAGAGGCAGAGAGGAGAGAGACAGGGAGAGACAGGGGGAGAGAGGGGAGAGAGGAGAGACAGAGAGGAGAGAGACAGAGAAGAGAGGAGAGAGACAGGGGAGATAGGGGAGAGAGGAGAGGCAGAGAGGAGAGAGACGGGGTAGAGATAGGGAAGAAAAGAGACATGGAAGAGAAGAAAATGTTGATTACTTCATCTAATGACAGCCAAGTTCACATACTGGGACTTTAAGGCCTCCACAGTAGGAACCAATGAGCTCCCTCCGTGTAGCTTTGCCATTGACCTTATTTAGGACCTTGTCTAGTGAGTTAACACCAATGTGTAAAGTCTCAGTAACTACAGGAGGTTTTGGACACAAGCAGCTCCTAAACACAGCTTGTTACCCAGTAGTAAAACAACATTGATGCGGACGTGGCACTGGAAGATGTAGAAGACGTGACCCTACAATAGTTGTATGACCTTTAACTAACTAACCCCACACTACCCAGTAACCACAAACTACACAGACATCAGTAACAATCACGGGTGATGTTTCATACAATATATATTAGACTGGGAAGGTAATGGATTGAAAGCTTAGCCAATTTGTCCCTCAATGTTGTTACTGTAGTACCATTTTAGGGAAAGTATTTATGAGTAGTAATTCCTATTTCTCCCCAGCAGGTGGCTCTCTAACCACAAACCCACAGTACTTTCACTGGACCATCACATTCATCGTATTCTCTGTACAGGTCTGTAATCTACAGTACCAGTTCTGGTCTCTTCTGCAACCGATAGGAGCCACAAAGCCCAGCTACTGCATATCCAGATCAAGAGTAACATTGCGAAATATGTTATTCTAGTCAAGGACCCAAACAACACCCGTCGGATCAGACGCCGGCTGTCATCTTTTTAGAGACAAGGCAGGGTCAGGTCAGACTGGGATGTGTCACCTCTAACCCCATCCCAGTCACAACACACACAGGCCCCAGCCACTCGGGATGCCAGCCCCTGGCCTCTGTCACTGTTTTCTGGGCTGGGTCCATCTTCCTGTGGCTGGCTGGCTGTTCTGGCTGTTCTGGCAGTTTTGTTTTAAAGATATGTGATGCTGGTGTATGTGTGGATAATGCCTGTGTATGTGTGTTAGTTTTAAAGGCATGTAATGCTGGTGTATGTGTGTTAGTTTTAAAGGCATGTCATGCTGGTGTATGTGTGTTAGTTTTAAAGGCATGTCATGCTGGTGTATGTGTGTTAGTTTTAAAGGCATGTAATGCTGGTGTATGTGTGTTAGTTTTAAAGGCATGTCATGCTGGTGTATGTGTGTTAGTTTTAAAGGCATGTCATGCTGGTGTATGTGTTTGTTTTAAAGACATGTAATGCTGGTGTATGTGTGTTAGTTTTAAAGACATGTCATGCTGGTGTATGTGTGTTAGTTTTAAAGACATGTAATGCTGGTGTATGTGTGTTAGTTTTAAAGACATGTCATGCTGGTGTATGTGTGTTAGTTTTAAAGACATGTAATGCTGGTGTATGTGAGTGTGTACTATAATTTACCTGGAGGCAGTAAAGCACAGGGCCCTATCATCATAGCTGTACTCTGCTCTGTAATAACAGATAATACTTCTGGATCCTCCACAACCAGGAAGGAACATCTGTATGTTTACTTTCATAATTCCTTTTACCTTTATAGAGGCATACTGGGATATGGGGGTTGGGACTCCAGGGGCAAAGAATGAAAAATAGCTATTTCATGGGCATGGGCGGAGTCAGATGTTATGGAGCAGCACGCACTTTTGTCCACGTCGTCGTTGCGTTCCACCCAGAGAGGAAGTGCACTAGGGGGCTTGGGGTGCCAGAGTAGCTTTCCAAGCAAGAGGCTCCGAGGCACTCTTTGTGTAAATACAGTACATTTCTTATTATGCAAAATAACCTTCTTTGGATACTGTATTACAGTCTTCTTAAGTCCTAATTGTCAGCAGCAGCCACGTGCGAAGCTGACAGTATGTTTAAGGAACACAAGGCTGAGTACCCAGGTGACATACTGGATCTGATGGTTGCTGCAGTGCACCGTGGGATACGTAGTTACAGGGGGTCCATCTGCTCTGATAGAAATAGAACTAAGAATTACAAAACATTGACATGAATGGGAATTCCTGATCTAGTAATGATATTTCTATGGCTCACTCTTCATCTACATACAACGGGAACAAGGGACAAGCCAGCAGCTTGTAAGACAGACAGGCTGGTAAAAATTAGCAGGACAGGTCTCTCTAATAGGCCTGAGACTGTGTGCTGCTTATTCCTCTTGCATTGGTACCTGACATTCTTAATCACCCCACGAGGGTCCAAGACGAGTATCTCACTCATAATAGGAGCACTCAGAAAATTGATCTTTATCGCCTCTGATATTTCTGAGATACACATTTCTATACCAATGAGGAAATGTGAAAGGTCTAAATGGAAAAAGAAAGGTAACATCCATTTTCTGCCCACCAGAAGAGGCAGCACCACTATAATTCAGCTGATCGCAACAGAATTTTCCAACGACACGTGTCCAGATTGTGCAATAACAACACTCTTAATAATGAATAAAGAAATAGGTAAGTGTGGAAAAGCTGCAGCAGTATAAATAGGGGAAAGTGCTGAAAATGTGCTTGTACCCTCCAGGTAGAAAGCCTTACATAAATAAGGGGTGGAAGAGAGGAGAGAGGGAGAGAGGGATGACTCTCAAACACACACACACACACACGCATGCATGCGCACACACACACTATGCTCTGTACACATTTCTCCTGCAGGTAAGCTACGTGGCGGTTGGAGGAGAACTCATTACGGGGATCAAACACTGCCCCCCCGCCTGGCTAAATGCAGTGCTTATTAAAGCTCTCTGTTGGAGGCGCTGTGTAAAACCCAGGAACAGGGGGGCCGAGCCCGGTATGTGTGTGTGTGTGTAACCCAGGAAACAGGGGGGCCAAACGCAGAAGAGGGGCTATGAGGGGGACAACCCAGCTCTCATTAAGATTTACTGCTCAGTCTGTGACGTCTGGCCACAGGGCCGAAGGCTGGATCGGGGTGTGTGCATGAGGCACATGTTTGTGTGACCAACAGGTTTTGCAATCACAGTAGCGTCCTACCATACAGGAAATGACCTACGCTGGATAAGACACATCGTAATGATCTGATGAAAAATAGCTGCTCTGCTGGATGTGCACAACCATATAGTTATCACTCACACTCACTCCCACACACACACACCTTACACACACCTCCAGAAGAGAGAGACGTGAGTGGTGTCTGTGGTTGATGAATCCAGCTAAGCACTTTCTCTGCCTCCCACAGCTCTCACACCACTAAATGAGCCTTTACACATGCAGAAACCATCACTAGTGTCTACTATTAATCTTAGACCTTTTACTCCACAGGCAGATGAGAACCCTTTATTCACCATAATTACTACTGAGAGCAGTGGAGGCTGCTGAGGGGAGGATGGCTCACAATAATGGCTGGAACAAGGCAAATGGAATGGCATCAAACACCTGGAAACCATGTGTTTGATGTATTTGATACCATTCCACCTATTCCACTCCAGCCATTACCACAAGCCCGTCCTCCCCAATTAAGGTGCCACCAACCTCCTGTGACTGAGAGTTACAGTAGTTTCTCCTCCAGACGCCAGGCTACAGTAGCTCAGTGTGTCGCAGTGTCCTGCTAGCCTCGGGCTGCGTCCCAAATGGCAGCCCCAAAATGCACTACTTTTGAACAGCGTCTTGGGCTCTGGTCAAAATTAGAGCACTATGTAGGGAATAAGGTGCTATTTGGAACGCAGCCTGAGTGTCCTGCGACCTGGTCTGGCCATGTGGGTTAATGAGACATTAATAGGAAGTGATGTGGTGCAGCGCAGTACTCATCTCCCTGTGGGTCCATGTGGGGGACTAAAACTGTCTCTAATACTTCTAGAGGGACCTGACTGATGACCCGTCCTTACAATAGTGGAGGGAGAGAGAGAGCGAAAGAGAGAGAGAGAGAAGTACGAGAGAGAGAAAAGAGAGAGAGAGAAAGTGGTCGGAGGAGATAGAAGAAAGTGGAGCGAGAGAAAGAGTAGAGACAATAAGAAGAGAGAGAGGAGGAAAGAGAGAGGAAGAACGAGAGAGACTAGAGAGAGCGAGAGGAAGAGAGCAGAGACAAAGATCGAGAGAGAAAGCCAGCAGAGGAAGACCTCACGACTGTATATACTGTGTTGCAGTTTTGTAACGACGAGTTGACACGACTAATAGCAAAGAATGTATAGGAACTAATTGTACACGAAATCAGAGAGGAGAGAAAGATTGAAGAGAGGAGTAGAGACCAGACAGTAGATCGGGTAGCTAGGGCAGAAAAGGTGCAGGAGCTCACGTCAGCTCTAGAGACGGGAGAAGACTGGGGAAACCATGAAGAAGAGAAGCACTGAGCAAGCGCAACACTCGATTAGTAAACTTTTGGTGTTAAGCCGTTGACACCTTGAGCAACAATGTAAGGTAACTAATCAATGAAGAGAAACAGCGGAAAAGAAGAACCAGGAGTGAGAAAAGCACTCTCGTAGACTTATTGCTCGGGCAAATTAAAATTGTCAGTGCCACGCCAGCTCTAACCGCGTGGGTAACATAGCAACATGGCCACTGAGGCAGCGCAGCATCGTGTAAGGCAGAGACTGAGGTTGCCCGTTGTTTTGAATACCCAGCAGAAATTTAAAACGAGAAGGGAAGATCAACTTTAAACACCGATTGAGGGAAACCCCAGAACTTTTTTTGCGATGCTCACAAAACGGGATGTTACAAACTGCTATTTTACACAAGCCAATCCCGTCTAACTTTTAAAAAAAAAAACCCCCCCAAAAAACAAATTTTTTTAAAAAAAAACCTTAAAAAAAACCCCCCCCCCCCCCGGGAAATAAACCCCCCCCCCCCAAAAAAAAAATTTTTTTTCCCCTTTTAAAACCCTTTGGGTTTAAACCCGGGGGGGGGGCCCCCTTTTTGGGAAGGGGGGGGTTTTTGAAAAAAAATTTTCCCCGGGGGGGGGAAAAAAAAACCCCCCGGGGCCCAAATTTTTTTTTTTTTTAAAAAAAAAGGGGGGTTTCCTTTTTTTTTCCCCCTTTTCAAAAAAACCCCCCTTTTTAAAAAAACCCCAACCGGAAAAACCTTTTTCCCCAAAAAATTTCCTCGGGGGAAAACCCCTTTTTAAAAACCCCCCCCCCCCCAAACAACTCCCCCCCCCAGAAAAAACCCAAAATTTTTTTTTAAAAAAGGTTTCCGGGCCCCCCCAAGTTCTAAAGAAAAAAAAGGGGCCCCCCCCAAAAAAAAAATTTTTTTAAAAAAATTTCCTTTAAAAAAAAAAAAAAACCCCCCCCCTTTTTTTCCCTTAAAACCCTTAAGGGAAATTTTTTTTTTTAAAAAAAAATTTTTTTCCCCCTTTCCCGGGTTTTTGGGGTTTTTAAAAACCAATTTTTTTCCCCCCCCTTTAAAACCCCCCCCCAATTTGGGCCCCCCCCTTTTGGGAAAAAAACCCTCCCCCCAAAACCCCCTTTAAAAAAACCCAAAACCCCTTTTTAAAAAAAAAACCCCCCTTTTTCCCCCTTTTTTTCCCCCAAAAAAAAAAAATTTTTTTGGGGGCCTTTTTTTTCCCCCCTTTCCCAAGGGGTTAAAAAAAAAAGGTTTTTAAAAACCCCCCCGGTTTTTTTGGGGGGGGGAAAAACCCCCAAAAACCCCAAAAAACCCTTTTATTTTAAAAAAGGGGGGGAAAAAAAAGGGGGGAAAAAAAAAAAAAAAAAAAAACCCAAGGGGGGGGGGGGCCCCCCCTTCTCCCTTTTTTTTTTTCCCCCTTTTTCCCCCCCCCCCCCTTTCCCGGGTTTTTTTTTTCCCCTTTTTTTTCCTCCCCTTTTTCCCCCTTTTTTTTTCCCCCCCCTTTATTTTTTTCCCCCTTTGGGGGGGGGGGTTTTTTTTTAACCCCCCCCCCCCCCCCCCTTTTTTTTTTTTTCCCCCTTTTTCCCTCCTTTTTTTTTTTTTTTTTTTTTTCCCCTTTATTTTTTTTTTTTTTCCCCTTAACCTTTTGTTTTTTTTTTTTTTTTTTTTTTTTAAAAATTTGGTTTTTTTTTTTTTTTTTCCCCGGGAAAAAAGGTTTAAAAAAAAAATTTTGGGTTTTGGGGAAAGGGGGGGGGGAGAAAAAATTTTAAAAGGGGGGTTTTAAAAAGGGAAAAAAGGGGGAAAAGGGGGGAAAGGGGAAAAATTTGTTTTTTTTCCCCCCTTTTTTTAAAACCCTTTTCCCAAATTTCCCCCCTTTCCCCCCGGGGAAAAATTTAAAAAAAAAAAGGGGGGGGGGAAAAGGGGGGGGGGGGGGAAAAAAAAAAAAAAAGGGGGGGGGAAAAAAAAAGGGGGGAAAAAAAGGGGGGGGGGAAAAAAAAAGGGGGGGAAAAGGCCCCCCCCAAAGGGGGGGGGGGGGAAAAAGGGGGCCCCTTTTTCCCCAAACCCTTTGTAAAAAAAGGGGGGGGGGGAAAAAGGGGAAAAAAAAAGGGGGGGCCCGGGGGGGAAAAAAAAAAAGGGGGGGGGGAAAAAGGGGGCCCCCCTTTTTTAAAAAAGGGGGGCCTTTAAAAAAAAAAATTTTTTAACATTTTTTAAAAAAAAAGAAAAAACCTTAACCCCCTTTAAAACAAAAAAAAAAAAACCCAAAAAAAAAAAAATTTTTTTTTTTTTTTTTTTTTTTAAAAAAAAATTTTTTTTGGGGAAAAAAAATTTTTTTTTAAAAGGGGGGGTTTTTTTTTAAAAATTTTTTTTTTTTAAAACCCTTAAAAAACCCTTTTTTTTCCCCCCCCCCCCCCCAAAAAAAAATTTTTTGGGTTCGGGGGGGAAAGGCCAGGGGGGGGGAAATTTTTTTAAAACCCCTTTTTTTCCCCGGGGGGGGGGGGGGGGTTTTTGGGACCCCCCCCCAAAATTTTCTGCCGTGGTGTATTGAGAGACCTTGTAATCATGCACTTACAATGTAGTTTGACTTGATTTGATTGTACCTCTGTGATGACAGGTTTGCAGTATCCAGCCCCGAACATCAGGTTCTCCATGGACACCCCCATGGCTGATGGGTCAGTAACGTTCTCTAGAGAGCCCTTTCCCAGCCAGGAACCCTTCCCTGTACGGGCAAAACTATGGAGAGAGAGAGAGAGAGAGAGAGAGAGAGAGAAAGAGAGAGAGAGAGCGAGAGAGAGAGAGAGAGAGAGAGAGAGAGAGAGAGAGAGAGAGAGAGAGAGAGAGAGAGAGAGAAGAGCAGTTAGTCATTATGTAATCAATAGAGCTCTGGTGTAATCAGGGAAATTGATGGCTGAACATTCAGGTTAAGATATTGGCAGCTGGATTCATCACCTAAGTGTTTGAAAAACTACTTATTCAAGTAGCAGGCCAGTGGATGCACTTTCAGAGCAGGTTGCCAAACTAAACCGATTCTAACAGGAGAGGACATACAGTGGGGAGAACAAGTATTTGATACACTGCTGATTTTGCAGGTTTTCCTACTTACAAAGCATGTAGAGGTCTGTAATTTTTATCATAGGTACACTTCAACTGTGAGAGACGGAATCTAAAACAAAAATCCAGAAAATCACATTGTATGATTTTTAAGTAATTAATTTGCATTTTATTGCATGACATAAGTATTTGATACATCAGAAAAGCAGAACTTAATATTTGGTACAGCAACCTTTGTTTGCAATTATAGAGATCATACGTTTCCTGTAGTTCTTGACCAGGTCTGCACACATTGCAGCAGGGATTTTGGCCCACTCCTCCATACAGACCTTCTCCAGATCCTTCAGGTTTCGGGGCTGTCGCTGGGCAATACGGACTTTCAGCTCCCTCCAAAGATTTTCTATTGGGTTCAGGTCTGGAGACTGGCTAGGCCACTCCAGGACCTTGAGATGCTTCTTACGGAGCCCCTCCTTAGTTGTCCTGGATGTGTGTTTCGGGTCGTTGTCATGCTGGAAGACCCAGCCACGACCCATCTTCAATGCTCTTACTGAGGGAAGGAGGTTGTTGGCCAAGATCTCGCGATACATGGCCCCATCCATCCTCCCCTCAATACGGTGCAGTCGTCCTGTCCCCTTTGCAGAAAAGCATCCCCAAAGAATGATGTTTCCACCTCCATGCTTCACGGTTGGGATGGTGTTCTTGGGGTTGTACTCATCCTTCTTCTTCCTCCAAACACGGCGAGTGGAGTTTAGACCAAAAAGCTCTATTTTTGTCTCATCAGACCACATGACCTTCTCCCATTCCTCCTCTGGATCATCCAGATGGTCATTGGCAAACTTCAGACGGGCCTGGACATGCGCTGGCTTGAGCAGGGGGACCTTGCGTGCGCTGCAGGATTTTAATCCATGACGGCGTAGTGTGTTACTAATGGTTTTCTTTGAGACTGTGGTCCCAGCTCTCTTCAGGTCATTGACCAGGTCCTGCCGTGTAGTTCTGGGCTGATCCCTCACCTTCCTCATGATCATTGATGCCCCACGAGGTGAGATCTTGCATGGAGTCCCAGACCGAGGGTGATTGACCGTCATCTTGAACTTCTTCCATTTTCTAATAATTGCGCCAACAGTTGTTGCCTTCTCACCAAGCTACTTGCCTATTGTCCTGTAGCCCATCCCAGCCTTGTGCAGGTCTACAATTTTATCCCTGATGTCCTTACACAGCTCTCTGGTCTTGGCCATTGTGGAGAGGTTGTAGTCTGTTTGATTGAGTGTGTGGACAGGTGTCTTTTATACAGGTAACAAGTTCAAACAGGTGCAGTTAATACAGGTAATGAGTGGAGAACAGGAGGGCTTCTTAAAGAAAAACTAACAGGTCTGTGAGAGCCGGAATTCTTACTGGTTGGTAGGTGATCAAATACTTATGTCATGCAATAAAATGCGAATTAATTACATAAAAATCATACAATGTGATTTTCTGGATTTTTGTTTTAGATTCCGTCTCTCACAGTTGAAGTGTACCTATGATAAAAATTACAGAGATCTACATGCTTTGTAAGTAGGAAAATCTGCAAAATCTGCAGTGTATCAAATACTTGTTCTCCCCACTGTATATGGTGTGACAGTTAAGTAGTGATCATCAGTGTGACATGTTGGTTGGTAAGCACACAAACACACACACACATGTGCACACACACACACACACACGTGCACACACACACAAGCATGCATGTTTGCACAGACATGCACACACACAAAAACACACACACAGTATTACCTGATGAGTGGTTGATGTAAGGCCACCAAGGATGCATGTATAGAGACAGAGATGACGGACAGGTGGAAGTAGTCGAACATCACAGGTACATGGTGGTGGAGACCTCTCCTGGGATGGAAGTGGAGACCCAGGGTTCTACTGCTGATCACTGGGACTGTCACGATGTCCCCTAACCTAAAGACAACACAGTTAGTATCTAAACCAGCCTGAGAACAACAGCAGAGAGAGGTCATGCCAGAACAGTATACAGTTACATCATCATGCCAAAGACAGTGAATGCAAGTTTAAAATGCACTGTGTCAAAATTGAAAACTATTACCCATTTAAAGGACATGATGTTATGGGTTATTTAACTGTTATTATTCAGCTAGGACAATAGCAAATTCAAGAAAGCACACCAGTGTGGTGAAAAATGAATTTCACTCTGGGGCAATAAAGTTGAAACTTGAACTTGGTAATATTCTACACACACAAACACTTGGTCTCGGTCACACATAAATGGGTGGCTCCAAATAGTATAAGTTCTGAGCAGCAAAGTCTGAGAAGTTGTAAGCGCTCCAAATGGGATGTTTAATGAGCCGTCCAGGAGACATTACAAGTCATCTATCACTTGTCTGTGGCCTACAGTACCTATTGACCTATTGACCTATTGACCTATTGAGCTGCAACAGCACAAACACACAGAGCTCACACTTGGAGTGACAGATCCAAATAGCTGATCCAACAGTAACATCCTTTACACACACACACACACACACACACACACACACACACACACAGACACACAGACAGACAGACAAATGCACACACGCACAGAGACACACTCGTACAAATGTGCTCACGCATGCACAACGCATGCAAGTCTGCACAGAGACGTGGTAAAGTAGTGTTTTTAATTGACTAGTGTTTTTTCCTGACTATGCAGTCTGCCAGTCTGTTAGAGCCAGAGGCTTTTCGCTGGCAGGACATCATTAGGACTTGGACCTCAGCACTACTAACTGAGGACCTCTCAGAACTGAGAGGCGAGAGGGAGAGAGAGATGGGGGAGGGAGGGGGGATAGGAAGAGAGATGGAGAGATGCAGAGAAAGTGAGAAGAAAAAAAATGCCAGAGAAAAGAGACTATGTAACCGAGTGTTTAACGTACTGTTCCTCGTTGTCTGTGAAGTGAAGGTCCAGCTTCAACTGAAAGTCCACTTCACTCAGAGCCTCTTCCACCTGTGAGAACAGAAACACAGTCACAACATCAACAAGATTGTATCAACCAGAATTACACAAATCAGCAATGAAATTCAACATTTAAAAAAATGCATTAGGGTTATAAAACAAATGTTGTAAATCCATACCAGTGTAACAATATTATTGTGAGACATTAAACCATGAGCAGCTGTTAATGTGTGTATAGTATTGTCATTAGTATCTCTACTGTATCTTCTGCCTGTTTACATTGTAGACTGAACAGTATTGTTCTTATCATAATGAAGGTAAAAGGCAGGTAGTTGGATTTGATATAGGTAATCAATTTAACTCCATTTGAATAAAGCAGTGGAAAACAAAAAAGCCACTACAAAAGAGTACGCCGTTGAGAGAAATTAAGAATGATTTGGAAGAAATCTCTTCCTGTCTCACACACTTTATCTCGCTCTTGTTTATTTTCACACACCCTACTTCTCTCTTTCTCTCTGCCTCTCTCTCCGCTCTCTCGCTCTCTCTTCTCTCTCTCTCTCGTTTCACTCTCTTTGTTATCTCCCTACAACATGCACACACACACACAAACAGACACACACACAGACTTACACACACACACAGCATGGTCTGTGTAGCAGAACAAACAGCATTGTCAAATCCTATTGATATTCTGATTGGTTAAACACACACACTGGGGAAATTGAGTTCTATTTTTGTCCTTCTTATTTGAGTCTGTGGGAAGAAGAGGGAAGGAGAGAGAGACGACGTAGAGAAATAGCCGAGAATGGCGGGAGAGAGAGAGAGAAGAGAGAGAGAGAGAGTGAGAGGTAGATGAGAGAAGAGAGCGGGTCGAGAGATGGTCTGAGAGAGAGAGAGGAGGAGAGAACAAGATGAGAGAGAGATGAGAGATCGACGCGAAGAGAGAGAAGAGCAGAGAGGGGAGAGGATGAGCCGAGAGAGAGCAGAGAGAGAGGAGAGAGAGGCTGATGAGAGGAGAGAGAAGAAGAGAAGAGAGGAGGAGAAGGGAAGGAGAAGGAGAGGGAGAGGGGAGAGGGGGAGAGGGAGAGGGAGAGGGAGGAGAGAGAGGGAGCGGGGGGGGAGAGAGGAATGAGAGAGAGGAGAGAGAGGGCGGGGTAGGGGGAGGGAGAAGAGAGGGGGGTTAGGAGGGCGGGAGGAGGAGAGAGAGCAGGTAGAGGGTAGGGGGAGAGAGAGGGGGGTAGAGGGAGGGAGAGAGAGGGGGTAGAGGGAGGGAGAGAGAGGGGGGAGAGGGGGAGAGGGAAAGGAGTTTACCTCTGGAAGGTTAATGAGAAGAGGGGATCTATGTTCCAGCCCACATCCTCTCTCTGTCACCACCTTCACATAAATAATGTGTCATACATTTAATGAAAAAATCTAAATTTAGGAGACCTCAAAGGTAGGTAGCTGACATTAAATAAATAAATTGGGAGAGCTGACCTGCCATGTAGCCAACAAGCTGAAGATGAAACTGACAGTCACATTCTGACTGAACCAGGGTTCCTGTTTAACTCTGTAGGTTAGATTGTAGGTAAGATATCTGTACAATGAGGGAAAAAAGTATTTGATCCCCTGCTGATTTTGTACGTTTGCCCACTGACAAAGAAATGATCAGTCTATAATTTTAATGGTAGGTTTATTTGAACAGTGAGAGACAGAATAACAACAAAAAAATCCAGAAAAACGCATGTCTAAAATGTTATAAATTGATTTGCATTTTAATGAGGGAAATAAGTATTTGACCACCTCTCAATCAGAAAGATTTCTGGCTCCCAGGTGTCTTTTATACAGGTAACGAGCTGAGATTAGGAGCACACTCTTAAAGGGAGTTCTCCTAATCTCAGTTTGTTACCTGTATAAAAGACACCTGTCCACAGAAGCAATCAATCAGATTCTAAACTCTCCACCATGGCCAAGACCAAGACCACCAGCTCTCCAATGGATGTCAGGGAAAAGATTGTAAACCTACTTAAGGCTGGAATGGGCTACAAGACCATGGGCTACAACACCTCGTGGAGTTGCAATGACCATGAAAACGGTGAGGAATCAGCCCAGAACTACACGGGAGGATCTTGTCAATGATCTCAATGCAGCTGGGACCATAGTCACCAAGAAAAAAATTGGTAACACACTACGCCATGAAGGACTGAAATCCTGCAGCGCCCACAAGGTCCCCCTGCTCAAGAAAGCACATATACAGGCCCGTCTGAAGTTTGCCAATGACCATCTGAATGATTCAGAGGAGAACTGGGTGAAAGTGTTGTGGTCAGATGAGACCAAAATCGAGCTCTTTGGCATCAACTCAACGTGTTTGGAGGAGGAGGAATGCTGCCTATGACCCCAAGAACACCATCCCCACGTCAAACATGGAGGTGGAATTTTTTTAAAAACATTTTAGTCATTTAGCAGACGCTCTTATCCAGAGCGACTTACAGTTAGTGAGTGCATACATTCTTTTTTCATACTGGCCCCCCGTGGGAATCGAACCCACAACCCTGGCGTTGCAAACGCCATGCTCTACCAACTGAGCTACATCCCTGCCGGCCATTCCCTCCCCTACCCTGGACGACGATGGGCCAATTGTGCGCCGCCCCATGGGTCTCCCGGTCGCGGCCGGCTACGACAGAGCCTGGATTTGAACCAGGATCTCTAGGGGCACAGCTAGCACTGCGATGCAGTGCCTTAGACCACTGCGCCACATTATGCTTTGGGGGTGTTTTTCTGCTAAGGGGACAGGACAACTTCACTGCATCAAAGGGACGATGGACGGGGCCATGTACCGTCAAATCTTGGGTGAGAACCTCCTTCCCTCAGCCAGGGCATTGAAAATGGGTCGTGGATGGATATTCCAGCATGACAATGACCCAAAACACACGGCCAAGGCAACAAAGGAGTGGCTCAAGAAGAAGCACATTAAGGTCCTGGAGTGGCCTAGCCAGTCTCCAGACCTTAATCCCATTGAAAATATGTGGAGGGAGCTGAAGGTTCGAGTTGCCAAACGTCAGGCTCGAAACCTTAATGACTTGGAGAAGATCTGCAAAGAGGAGTGGGACAAAATCCCTCCTGAGATGTGTGCAAACCTGGTGGCCAACTACAAGAAACGTCTGACCTCTGTGATTGCCAACAAGGGTTTTGCCACCTAGTACTAAGTCATGTTTTGCAGAGGGGTCAAATACTTATTTCCCTCATTAAAATGCAAATCAATTTATAACATTTTTGACATGCGTTTTTCTGGATTTCTTTGTTGGTATTCTGTCTCTCACTGTTCAAATAAACCTACCATTAAAATGATAGACTGAACGTTTTTTTTTTTTTATAATTCAATTCAGTACACATTCAACACACAATTAATTTTCTCCTTTCCCCCTTCTGATAACCAGGTGGCGAATCGCATCTCTGCATGTCTGGCAGACATATCAGTGTGGATGTCGGATCACCACCTCAAGTTGAACCTCGGCAAGACGGAGCTGCTCTTCCTCCCGGGGAAGGACTGCCCGCTCCATGATCTCGCCATCACGGTTGACAACTCCATTGTGTCCTCCTCCCAGAGTGCAAAGAACCTTGGCGTGACCCTGGACAACACCCTGTCGTTCTCCGCTAACATCAAAGCGGTGACCCGATCGTGCAGGTTCATGCTCTACAACATTCGCAGAGTACGACCCTACCTTACACAGAAAGCGGCACAGGTCCTAATCCAGGCACTTGTCATCTCCCGTCTGGATTACTGCAACTCGCTGTTGGCTGGGCTCTCTGTCTGTGCCATTAAACCCCTACAACTTATCCAGAACGCTGCAGCCCGTCTGGTGTTCAACCTTCCCAACTTCTCTCATGTCACTCCGCTCCTCCGCACACTCCACTGGCTTCTAGTTGAGGCTTGCATCTACTACAAAACCATGGTGCTTGCCTACGGAGCTGTGAGGGGAACGGCACCTCCTTACCTTCAGGCTCTGATCAGACCCTACACCCAAACGAGGGCACTACGTTCATCCACCTCTGGCCTGCTAGCTCCTCTACCTCTACGGAAGCACAGTTCCCGCTCAGCCCAGTCAAAGCTATTCGCTGCTCTGGCACCCCAATGGTGGAACAAGCTCCCCCACGACGCCAGGACAGCGGAGTCACTGACCACCTTCCGGAGACACTTGAAACCCTACCTCTTTAAGGAATACCTGGAATAGTATAAAAGTAATCCTTCTTCCCCCACCCCCCATAAAAAATAAATAATAATAAAAACATATAAAAAAGTGGTTGTCCCTCTGGATAAGAGCGTCTGCTAAATGATGTAAATGTAAATGTAAATGATGTATAGCGTTTTGCAAAAAAAACTAACATTTTCATACACATCTAAAATCGCTGAATTAAAAACCTGAGAACAGTAATATTTTACACACACATATGAAGGTACCCATAAGCAATTATTTCTGATGAAAAAACACAAACGTGAAAAATTGGTGGATATAGCGTTTTGGAAATAAACTCTTCAAGTGGTTAAATTGAGCGTGTGTGAGATTGTGTGATCGTGTGATTGTGTGTGTGTGTATGTGTGTCTCACCCTCTCCCCGTCCAGCAGCAGGTGGACCTTGAAGAGCATGCGGTCATTGACGTTGACCTCTTGGTTTCGGTAGAGGATCTGGAAGATCCGGCTGAACACCGTAGTGTCCTCATGGACCCCATCATGGACCCCTGCAGAGCTGAAACTACAGTCACCTGGGGGGGGAGGAAGGGGAGACAGCATCAGCAGCAGTATCATCATCGTCATCATCATCATCGTCATCATCATCATCATTATCATCGTCATCATCATCATCATCATCATCGTCATCATCATCGTCATCATCATCATCATCATCATCATTATCATCATCATCATTATCATCGTCGTCATCATCATCATCAACGTCATCATCATCATCACAATCATCATCATCAACGTCATCATCATCGTCATCATCATTATCATCGTCGTCGTCATCATCATCTCATCATCATCATCATCATCATCATCATCATCATCATCATTATTATCATCGTCGTCATCATCGTCATCATCGTCATCATCATCATCAACGTCATCATCATCGTCATCATCATTATCATCGTCGTCGTCATCATCATCGTCATCATCATCGTCATCATCATCATCATCAACGTCATCATCATCATTATCGAGACAAGGCACTGTGTGTAGGGCCCGGTGGCCGCTAAGGGTCCCCCGATCCAAAATAATAACTTGTCTGTCTGACTATTGTTTTTATTTTGGGGGGGGGGGGGGGGGGGGTCAGCTGGGGTCTCAGCTTACTGTTGAGAATTAGAATAGTAGAATACACAAGGTGCAATTACGACATTTGGTAATGCATCTGCACTTTTCTCTTGTTATGTCAGTCACTGACAATCACTCAATTATCCCATGTCAGCTAACATTTTATAGATTGCTAGGTAACTTACTCTAGCCAGCTATCTAAACCTTGTAGTAATCATGGCTCAATTACTGAATTACTGACTGGGCAAGCAAGGCACGTGCCCAGGAGCCCTGACCTCCTGGGATCCCACATTGATTTTGTTAGTCACTCTCACTCAGATATCATATGAACCTGGTATAAGTCATGGCAAAATGTGTAGAATTGCAGGGAATTAGCTTTTAAAACTGCCAAATTGTCTCTCTGCCATGGCAAAATTAGTAGAATTGCATGAAATTAGTTTTAAAACAGAAAAATGCTCTCTCTGCCCCATGGCAAAATGTGTAGAATTGCAGGAATATACATTCAAATGTTTTGCCTGCGAGGTGGTGGATCCCAACCAGATCTCAATTAGGGCCCCCAAAGACTAGAGGCAGCCCTGATCATCATCATACATCACAAACACATCAACATTCCCATCACTGTCTTTTCATGTCCTCCACATAATTGAGACTCAGAAGCAGTGACTATGCATAACTGAATGGATTATATACAATCAGACATTTCTCTGGGTATAAAAATAAATGGTTTTCCAATAAATCTCTATATAGTCAGTGCTGTTTTCTGCTTGCTTCTATAGAGTAGTTGTGAGGAAGCTCCTGGCTGCATCTGGCTTCTGGATGTGCAGCTGTGGTAGGCCTTTGAAGGAAGCACCCCACCAAGGTGCTCTCCTTTGATCTACTCTACACCCCCTCCTCTCTCTCTCCCTCTGTTTCTCTCTCTTCTCTCTGTTCTCCCCGTCTCTCGGCAGCCCTCTCCAGAAAGAACAGTCTCTTCAACCAGCACGAGTGGCAGACTATTTGGTTCAAATTTGAGTGAAAGGCATGGTGGCTGTTGTGTTTTGGCAGCATGCTGTGCTACTGCTAGTGCAAATACTCTTATTTCATTCCAAACCAATCATAGCCTGGCTATTACAGATGAAGAGTCAGTTTGTCAACAGAATTGTAATGAGGGTGAATGCTCAGTGCTCCAGGCTCATCTAAAAACATCTCTAGTTCCGCTCTACAGGGAGGGGACAGAGGGAGAGATGGAGCGGAACTAGCAAGGCATTAAAGAGGTTTCACTGAGACTCCTCCTTGTGATACTGAGGTACTAATCAAGTTATCAATCAAAATACTGTACATCATTTACATGGTCTTTCTCTCTCTCTCTCTCTCTCTCTCTCTCTCTCTCTCTCTCTCTCTCTCCTCTCTCTCTTTCTCTCTCTCTCTCTCTCTCTCTCTCTCTCTCTCAGCTAACATTTTATAGATTGCTATGTAATCTCTCTCTCGCTCTCTCGCTCTCTCGCTCTCTCGCTCTCTCTCTCTCTCTCTCAAATCAATTTCAATTCAATTCAATTTAAGGGCTTTATTGGCATGGGAAACGTGTGTTAACATTGCCAAAGCAAGTGAAGTAAATAGTAAACAAAAGTGAAATAAACAATAAATATTAACAGTAAACATTACACTCAGAAGTTTCAAAAGAATAAAGACATTTCAAATGTCATATTATGTATATATACAGTGTTGTAACAACACATCTCTCTCTCTCTCTCTCTCTCTCTCTCTCTCTCACTCTCTCTCTCTCTCTCTTTCTCAGATATTCTCCAACTGTTTGTGTGACATAATACCTTTAGAGTTAAGCTACAGCAAGGAGGCAGCAGAATGGTAAATGCTAAACTAATTCATATAACACCATCCTGACTTAACACACCACAATGTTTTTCTATATGAATCACAGTCATTAAATGGCTGGGCTTCAGAAGTGAGACAATCCTTCACACCTTTCATTTGTCTGCTTGAAATGTCAAGCACACAACACTTTAATTTCCCACAGTACTCTGGGTGGATCATTTCCCAAGTCTCTGTGATTGATAAATGTCTTTGTCCTGGCTGGCTGGAGCGGAGCGTGCCATTGGCTGGTGAATTTATGTCTGGGAGCCCTGTCTGTCCTGTCTGTCCGAGAGGCTTATGACTGTAATACGTGACCTTGTAGAGGAGGAGCTGCAGGAGAGGGGAGGGAGATGGTGAAGGGGACTGCGGCTAAGCCCTCCAATTAGAATATGGATACATACTGTAATGTTATTGTATGGTCCATTGCTGCAATGTAGCCAGCGGCACTCACTGTGTACAGATACTATGGCACTGCTGCACTGTGTGTGTGCAGGAAATCCTGATACTGCGGTCTAGGCTATATTCATATTCTGCACTACAGCAAATGATTTGTAGATGTTATCATATGGCAGTGCAGTGATAATCAGTACAAACTATTATTGCTGAATGCGAACATATTATGGACAATAAACTAAACATTATCGCCAATGGACTAAACATATTATGGGCGCTAAATGCTGCAAAGTCGTTCAAATTGATACCCTCCACTCTATGCAGTTCTCCTATCTAATCATATCATGGATCTAATGCATAATGTAGTTAAATATGCAGCTAACCTCTCATTATATACTGCTCCATGCTTCACAAATTGATACAGTAAAATACTATGCTGTTTTATACTGCATAGGACCATGTGAAACTCCTCCATACAACAGGTCACGTTGACCTGATCAATACCTTCCTGACTTCCCTACATAGGTCAGAGTGACATCCAGATTATTACTGAGTCAGTAGGACGATAGGAACAGGTGGCTGGTGGGTCTGAATAAATGCCTGAGTATCACATCTCAATGTCAGGGTCAGACCAACACAACAAAGGGGTTTTGCAGACGCAACCATGCATGCCCTTGTCAAAGAAGGAACACACACGCACGCACACACACGCACACACACACACACTGTTCCCTGCATCCTGTTCCGATCATAATTAACTAATAATATTTTTTTTATTACAGCAAATCAGAGATGCCTGGGATATGGCTTCGTGCTTATCCAGAGGACCAGATCTGTCTGCTAATGCTGATGGGACTACAGTACAGTACAACGACAGTGTGTGTCAGCCCAGTCTACTGGAACAGTCTTGCGTACCTATAAAATATATTCTCAACACTAACATTTAGTAACGGCCACTGAAGTCAACAAAAGTGTAGTTGTAAAGCACCACAAAGGGAGAAACTACATCATGACCTTAAGCTAGATTTATCAGCCTGAATTTCAAATTTCCTCACAGAGAGAGAAGAAAACTCTCTCCACCAATAACAGCAAGGCTTATTACTATTAAACAGAGAACATGAGAGGAAGCTGTCAGCTAGAAGTAACACACTGTTACTTCTCTTTTGGTATGTCCAAGGCCAGTTTCCTCTGTTTTAACTCTGTCATATAACTCTGTCATGTTATAAAAAAATCCTTTGATATTCTTGTGAATACGTTCACACCCCTAAACTGATTGTTTGAGACAATGTAAAACAGGCAGGAGACACTCGGTTGCAATGGGAACTTTGTCACGTCTCTTTCTGTGGGACTGTATTTTCTCGAGAAGGGAGAGACTACTTTCTCTGGTACAGAACATATCTATATCAAAACGCATTGCAATACCAATTAATTTGCATTTATTAAAGCCAGCTGAGACACTTGCACTGTTTAAATCATTAGTCAACACATCATTGTTCAATAAACCTTTTAGTTTCAAATCTCTAAGATATTATTATCATATATTATAAAGATAGGCAATTTTCATTCCTGCACATTATGCAACCCTGAAGCACCCATAGTTAGGTGCTAATGGTGGCCTGTTGTATGAGGCCTAACCAGATGGTATAACACCTCAGAAACATGAATAATATGAGCTATACACACAGCTAGCATGTGGTACAGACTGAATTCCTCCAGATTCCAGAGAGTGACTGTAAAATAAAACTGAACATACTGTATCTTTCAACCCAGAATCTCTGGCCTGATCCCCATGATCCAACACAGCACACTACCAACACACTACTGTTCCCATACAGTATAGTTTCAGTGGCCATAAACTATAAAAAGCAGATGTTGTGAAAGATTACTGTTTTCAGAAACATCAAAGGAAACTGTACTTCAGCATGTGTGTCATTGGGACTAAGAATGTGGATCACAGAAGATGATCGTAATCATGTTGTAGGGTAACCAGAACATTCTCTCTGTCAGACACGCATGAACCTCTCACACTCAACCCACCACAGTCCCTGGCTTAACAGGCTGCATAGACACAGACAGTGGCCCAACCACTGGCAAGTTCTGCATGAACTCAAACTACCTGTATAGAAGTCTTGGTATGCTACAAGCTGGTGTGGGTCTTGCCCACCTGCCTATTGCTGGAATCAGTGAGATTCATTCTGTAAGTG